TTATTATCTCTCAGAACCCAAACAATCCTCCGCGATATGCCCACTTAATGGGAATTTGCGGTATATTTCCTCTTTTATATGCTGTTTATGTACTGTCACACGCTTCCGTAATTCATTTGTGGATCCAATGTATAATTCATTACACCCAAGGCGTGTAATTACATATATTACATATGTGACAGAGCATGTCATACTACTATTTATTTTAAATGAAAATTCAAACCCAAACTTAACCAGTGATATTATTTCGTTTTAATTTTTATGAAAAATTATTGTAATTATCTCTCCATAATGACGCTACATAATGACGTAACGCCATTATCTATTATTGCCTTGATTGAAAACCTAACGGCGAAACATGTAGGCATTTAAATAAAATTTCTTTAATGGTGTTTTCTACTTAATCTTTTAGAATGTATGATATCCTTTTACGGTAAGCACCCTTTTAATTTATATATATATATATATATATATATGATTTGGGCATTAGGCAGACCTATTATATTTTGGGCATTAGGTAGACCTTTGTGAAAATCCATACTTATTACTTTTTGGAGATAAATTTTTTTAAAATGACACCTTTGGGATTGTTTAATTGATATCCGAAATTCGAAAAAAAAAATCCTCAAAAATAAAAAATATACATTTTTGGTGGTCTGCCTAATATTTGTTAATATATAACAGTCATTAGGCAGACCAGTGCATATATATAGTCATTAGGCAGACCAGTGCATATATATAGCCATTAGGCAGACCAGTGCATATATATAGCCATTAGGCAGACCAGTGCATATATATATATATAGTCATTAGGCAGACCAGTGCACATATATATCCATTAGGCAGACCAGTGCATATATATATAGCCATTAGGCAGACCAGTGCATATATATAGAGTCATTAGGCAGACCAGTGCATATATATAGTCATTAGGCAGACCAGTGCATATATATAGTCATTAGGCAGACCAGTGCATATATATAGCCATTAGGCAGACCAGTGCATATATATAGCCATTAGGCAGACCAGTGCATATACATAGCCATTAGGCAGACCAGTGCATATATATAGCCATTAGGCAGACCAGTGCATATACATATCCATTAGGCAGACCAGTGCATATATAGCCATTAGGCAGACCAGTGCATATATATAGCCATTAGGCAGACCAGTGCAAATACGAGTATATAGCCATTAGGCAGACCTGTGCATATATACAGGCCCGTAACAAAATATTGTTGACAATAAAAAGACCTAAATATACATTGTGCGTCAATCCAATTTTACAGCACCCCTGAGAACACTTCGGCCCCCCCCCTCGTTGTTCTGAGCTAGTTACGTCCCTGCGAACAAGTACATATATATAGCCATTAAGCAAACAAGTACATATATATAGTCATTAGGCAGACAGGATAGCCACTGGACAGGCTAGTATTTATAATGTATAATAGGGAACAATTATATGGAATGTTGGTAAGGAAACATTGCTAGGCTACACTTATGGTGCCGGGTGAAGGGTGGAGGGGTATGTGCATTCTCGGAGGGTCTAATTGGTGGGGGCACTACTGGATAAAGCGGGGCACACATATGGGGAATGAAAGGCCTGGTACAATGACAGTTATGGACGTAGTGTCAAACCGAGGGGTGCTATGGAGGAGGGCAGTGATGAATTTTGGGCAGTGTCATCATCCAGGTATTTGCCAGACCTACTAGAAACATTCCTGGATATTATCCCAACCCAGCTGAAATCCCATTTAACGTTTCAAATGCTCTTTCAAAAAGTTATACATTTTGCTTCCATCTCATCCACAGTGTTGTATAAAACAGACGGGCTTTCAATCTGGTTTTGAAATTACAATATATACAATACAATAAATACAATATAGAAGAGTTTGGTTAGGACTAAGCTAATCGGTGGTACTGTTAAGAGTTGTTAGATGTACACTTAATCTTGTTTGCAGCAACAATAAACTTTGGAAACAACATTATACTTTAAACATAAAATTTATTCAAGAAATTGAAACGAATGCCAACCATCCAAATATATGACCTATGGCACATGTATAACAAAAAACAATCGTTCTTATAAATCAATCATTTAGTCTTAATAATGTTTGAGAAATTTAGAGTAAAAAGAAAAAAAAACACAACTGTTTTAATTTTGACAAAAGTTTCATATTAAAATAGCTAAACGCTAAACCTCAAACTCAGTATCATCCATTATTCAAAATTACAAACACGAATTAAAATTTAATATTGTTCCATTTCAGTCAATAGCTCACTGTGAAAAAATGGAAACCTAATATCCAATATTTAAGACTTAATTAACATATTTAAATCAGTACACGGCGTCAGGACATAATGGTTTGGGGGACATGTGTAATGAACAAAGAAAGTTTACCCCAGAAGACAATTGCACAGAAGTATTTGAAAAGGGGTGATTCACAAACGACAAACTAATAATAATAAAATCGTGTAGAATGGACTAACAAGCAACAAACGTTTGGACTGTTCACGTATTTACTAAACATAACTGATTAAAAATTATAATAAAATTTCAAACATTGAATAGAAATCACTTTATATACAGTAAAATGTGCTTTAAGACCCACGTTCGTCCATGCCAAAGTTCCCAAGAATAGAGCTTTATGCCCTTAAATCTAATATCATTTTCAAAATAATAGAGGTGGTAGAAACAAGCCAAGAGTGGTCTTGGTGTTCAACCGACACATATTAATTAAGTTAATCAAGGCTTGGGTGTAATGAAACTATACACACAAGTTTCACCAAATCATCGACTCAATAAATTTGTTCATCTATGCTTAGCCTAAACATCAAGGTATTCGATTGATAATAAACAGCTACAGCAATTTTAAACATTATAGTCCAATTTAAAACATTGTGTCCCACATAAAAGCACATACATGTATATTAAAGATATACATATATAAATAATTTTCTGGCACATTCATATTTACTTATCTTACAAAAGGATCAAAGTTAGGTTGTACTAAACTCTATTACTATGATTATGAAAGGGGGGGGGGGGTATTCAATCCCAAACACGGTTCTTAGTACGAAATTCCAGCCATAATGTTACATATCACTGAAAAGCTTGTTTATTGCTCTTTTCAAATATATAAATAATTTTCTGGCACATTTATATTTACTTCCCTTAAAAAATGATCAAATTTGGGTGGTACCAAACTCTATTACTATGATTATGAAGGGGGTGGGTGGGTATTCAATGCCAAAATACGGTTCTTAGTACGAAATTCCAGCAATGATGTTACATATCACTGAAAAGCTTGTTTATTGCTCTCTTCAAATATATAAATAATTTTCTGGCACATTCATATTTACTTATCTTACAAAAGGATCAAAGTTGGGTGATACTAAACTCTATTACTATGATTATGAATGGGGGGGGGGGTATTCAATGCTAAAATACGGTTCTTAGTACGAAATTCCAGCCATGGTGTTATATATCACTGAAAAGCTTGTTAATTGCTCTCTTAAAATATATAAATAATTTTCTGGCACATTCATATTTACTTACCTTAAAAAACGATCAAATTTGGGTTGTACTAAACTCTATTACTATGATTATGAAGGGGGTTGGTGTGGGTATTCAATGCTAAAATACGGTTCTTAGTACGAAATTCCAGGAATGATGTTACATATCACTGAAAAGCTTGTTTATTGCTCTCTTCAAATATATAAATAATTTTTCTGGCACATCCATATTTACTTATCTTACAAAAGGATCAAAGTTAGGTTGTACTAAACTCTATTACTATGATTATTAATGTATAAATGTGTGTGTGTGTGTGCGGGGGGGGGGGGGGTATTCAATGCTAAAATACTGTTCTTAGTTCGAAATTCCAGCCATGATGTTATATATCACTGAAAAGCTTGTTTATTGCTCTCTTCAAATATATAAATAATGTTTTGGCACATTCATATTTACTTACCTTAAAAAACGATCAAAGTTGGGTGGTACTAAACTCTTTTATTATGATTATTAAGGGGGGTGGGGTGGGTATTCAATGCCAAAATACGGTTCTTAGTACGAAATTCCAGATATGGTGTTATATATCACCGAAAAGCCTGTTTAATGCTCTCTTCAAATATGTAAATAATTTTCTTGCACATTCATATTTACTTACCTTAAAAAACGGTCAAATTTGGGTGGTACTAAACTCTATTGCTATGATTATGGAGGGGGGAGGGGTCAATGTAAAAATACCGGTCTTAATACGAAATTCCAGTCATGGTGTTATATATCACTGAAAAGCTTGTTCGTTGCTCTCTTTAAATATGTAAATAAATTTCTGGCACATTCATATTTACTTATCTTAAAAAACGATCAAAATTGGGTGGTGCAAACTCTATTAAATGACGAGGGTAGGGGTATTTAAAGTAAAAATACGGGTATTAATGCGAAATTACAGCAATCGTGGTATGCATCACTTTAAAGTACGTTCCTTGATCTTTTCAAATACCGGGTATGTAAATAATTTTACGCTTATTTTATACATACCTTGAAAAAAGATTAAAGTTGGAGGTGGGGGGGGGGTATTTGAAGTAAAAATGCGGGACTTAATCCAAAATAATTATATCTATACTGAAAATTAAAGTTAATTTTCTCTTTTGTTCATCCCTAATTTTTTCTTTAGGCACAATGCATGTTTACTTCTTTTTTTTTTTAATTGATCAAAGTTAATTAGCCTGCACTAACTGAATACGAGTGGTGGGGTGGGGCGATTGTTTATTTTCTGGCACATTCATAATAACACACTTTAGAAGAGATAAAACCCTTTTTATTCAGAGCAAAAAATTTGTCGCCATCAGACAATAACCTAATTACTAAAAATAGACTACTTTCAATTTATTTTATTCATCGAAGGCTCGGATTAGCCCATACGGAGCACGTGATTTCACTGAAGTCTTGGTCATCCAGCGAATTCCTTATTGTATGCTGATTTGATTGTCCCTTATTGTAGGGTGAGTGGTCTTATTGTATGGTAGCTTATTGTATGCCAGCTTGATCTCGGCTCATTTACCGGTACCTGCATTTTGTCAACATTAAAAAAGAATGGAAACTAAGAACGAACACATTACAGAAGATGAAGAAGAAAAGCGACATTTTATTCGGGTTCTTAATAGTTTTAGAGGTTATAGGTAAAGACTAAAGACTGAAATATAATAACTTATTAAATAAGGACGAAATTACGACATCTAAAGTATTAGTAATGGTTCCTCTAGTCTCTACTGATGTAGGGTTACAAGATTAATCATATTGAAGAAGCTGCGACATTTATTATTCTGAGCAGACTAAAGCCAAATTGAGCCCGAAGTGCACTGCGGGCGCGACAAAATGGGCGGGCAATGGGCGCAATACAAAACTTATTCGGGCAATCTAACTCTTATTAGTCTTAAGGGGGTTTGGGGGCATTCTTGGATTTGTGACCAGTATTCAAATTAACACTGATTGTCAGGTTGATAGTGCTCCTATGGTAAAAAAATTTTAATATAGATGTCAAAAATTTGACAATCCTACAATTTGAAATTTGGTAAATAAATTCAATTTTAATTGCTAAATAATAAGAGGAATTATGGATGAAATACAATAAAAATCATATTATTGTCTACAAGATAACAATTGGTTATTAAAGGGCTCCCTATTTTAGTCATTCGTTTTCGTTTGGTATGGCATGCGTATTTCACATAAATTTTTATACGCCCACATTGAAATATGGTCCTATATTGTCGTCGGTCCGGCATCCACGTAGACGCTCTACTAGAGGCTAAAGTTAATATCTGATTGACTTTAAATTTATACACAGTGTTGAAGGTCATGAGACTGCCAGAGTTATGGCCCTTGATCATTTTGAAAAATCTTGTGGAGGCTAAAGTTAATATCCGATTGACTTTAAATTTATGCTCAGTGTTAACAGTCATGAGACGAAGAAGCCTATTGATTTTCAGCTATTTCCGATAATTACTGCCAGAGTTATGGCCCTTGTTCACTTTGAAAAATCTTGTGACACTCTAGAGGCTAACGTTATTATCCGATTGACTTCAGATTGATACACAGAGTTTAAGGTCTTGAGACAAACAAGTATATTGATTTTCAATGAATCTTTTTGACTTGAACAGCTAAATCCATGATGTTAAAAGTTTCGTATACTAAACATTAGCATGGGGCAGAACTTTATAAAACCAAACAAATTCTAATGGTTTTCTGATAATTACTTAATGAGTTGTTTCATTACAGATAAGTAAAAATATGCGACAACTATTGTTGGCTGCCCGGATGATATAGCTGCTGTTAGCGTATGTTTCGTTGCCTGGCAACCTATCTTATACATTAATATTAATCACTAGTTTATGTGTTTGGTGTTATTATTTTCAATTGAAAAACACCTGATTTAAAAACCGGGACATATAGGCATGTGAGAGGCATCGGGACTGGACGACAAAAAGGTCCCCAAAAAACGGGACTGTCCCGGTAAAAACGGGACGTATAGTAACCTTATACTGATATCTTCCGTCTTACTCTAGCCACAGTAGTGGTGTCCTAAGGTAGAGTTGGGCGATAATTCGATATTACCGAAAACACCGGTTTGGATCTCAAAACGGACGATACGATGTAGGAAAAATCCGAAACCGGTATATCACCATGATAAAACCGTTTATGATATCGCCGATATTACGCACTTAATACCGAAATATCGAGTCTGAACTCAACTTTCGCTTTCAATCATACGTGTACATCGAAGGATTTCCGCTTTGCGTTGTCGGGATTATAAGGACTTATTTAGAATCACTATATTACTTTAGCGAGCTATTCAAGACGATTTATGCCGCATCGTCACCATAACAACGGTAGCACACGCTCATTTCAGTCGGTGTGTAAAACTAAAGTAGTAACCAGTGAACACGTTTTTTATAATATTAAATCAATTTAACATTTTGTAAGATGAACACCGGTAAGCCTACATCTGAATTAAGATTAAGAACAGGTCTAGACCTAGACATAGAGTCAGAGGACAACCTGGTTCCGCCAAAAAAAAAATCTGACGAGTGATATTTGACTATTTTTTGGGTACAAAACCGATAAATCTCAAGTTGATCACATTTGTCGATTCTGCAGGAAGCCAGTTGCAGCAAAGGGTGGCAATACAACAAATTTATTTCTACATTTGAAAAACAAACATCCAGCTGAATACGCCAAATCTAAAGAAGAAGTGGGCCTGTTGTACCCTCCATCACCAAAATTGGTTAGGTCAAGATCAAAATCTACAACCCCAAGTCCAACTTCAGCTAGTTTATTAAGCTCAACAACCAAATTACAGGCAACCAATCAGAATCAGACAACAATTTTGGACACCTGCAAATATAACAAAAACAGTAAACGATGGCAATCGCTTACTGAATCAGTTACGAGATTTATAGTAAAGGGTATGCTTCCAATCTATACTCAGCCAAATTAAAAACTTGACACTCGGGATTTTTGGGACTAGATTTGTAATATTTGGTTTAAGGCAACTATTTTAGTGTTATGTTGTGCACAGACGACCTTGACATCAACAGAAAGCAAGAATACGTCTCGCTGAAAGTCCTTGACATTGATAACGTTCGTGATGTCACAGTACCCCCCAAAATGAAATTCACAGACTTGGAAAACAATCGGAATAAAGTGTTTAGTAACGGTTGTGGCCTTCTCTAGCGTCTCGTACTGCCACACAACGTCTTCTCATGGATCTCAGAACATTAGTAAACACTACCCGAGGAAGACGTCGCCACTGCTCAGCCAGAGCATGTTGAAGGTCCTGCAACGTCTGGTGGATTCACTTGCTGACGAACACGTCGACCCAGTTCGTCCCAGATGTGTTCAATAGGATTAAGGTCGGGGCTAAGCGACGGCCAATCCAGAACTTGGACACCGGCATATCTTAAAAAAATTCTGGGTAGCAATTGCTATATGGGGTCGAGCATTGTCTTGTTGAAACGTTAGTCCAGGCCCATGTCTCTGCATAAACGGAAGAAGAACAGGAAGTTTTAAAAGACATCCAGGATTTTCAGTACTTTTCTTAGGGTGACCCATGTACTCTCAGAAATACAGTCCACCGCTGATAGTTCGAGACTACCACTGAAGCGTGCACATTCGCTGTGCCGATACTGACAGTATGATACTATAAATAGCCATGGCACGTGCAATTCTCTACAAATCTATCAACTATTACAGCCGTAAAAAATTTATTGTTGACGATTTTGAATAGCAGTTAAATTAAGCTTCTTGGTTATTACAGCAGATTTAGAAATTACGTTCGTTTCATTTTTTAAATCGCTTTATCATTAACTGTACCGTTAAGAGCGGCATCTTTTGGTTTAGTACAAATAATATCTCTGAATCACTCGGGTTAGGCAGGAACATGATACTAGCAGTAGTTTCATTTTACTTTTACAAGCTTCTTAAAACGATTGTTGGGCTACCTAACGTGCTTATTTCTAAATTCAATTTCTTGTTCTAGCTTTCTGTTACGTTTCGTAAAAAAAGTAGTCTTGATTATCCCGACCTGTCAATCAGACGTAGAATGGTCGATAGACTGGTTAAGCGAGACTAATTTCAAAACAAGGGCACGTAACCTATCTTTTACTCAAAAGTATCTGGATGTTATGGACGACTCTTGGAACCAGTTTTCAGTCTATTATTTATACATGATTAATGGTCATAGCTTATTAAGTACAACATGATCGTTTATTTAGTGACTATAATTGTGTGAAACTGATTTGAGGCTTGGCATATATATAAATATTGTGGCGTAATTGTCGAAATATATGGAGATATTTATTTATGGTGGGTCACCCTACTTTTCTGCAACCACGGATCTCTGGTCCAGTTCTCAAATGGAACCGTTCATGTCTTTTACTCTACATTACATTGATAAATTATGGAACTTACAAACAAGGCATCTTCTAACAATGTTTTTCCCTGCAGATCATACTGGCGAAAATTTATCAAGTGGATTGAAAGATACATTAGATGACTGGGGTCTTGAGGAAGACTTTCTTGTTTGTTTAACAACTGACAATGGTTCAAACATTATTAAAGCTACTGAATTGAACTCCTGGACCCGTCTTCAATGTTTTGGACACCGCCTCCATTTAGCTATTAATAATGGCTTGAAAGATAATAGAATTGAAAGAGCAGTGGCAGTATGTAAGAAAGTGGTGTCTGCTTTTTCGTTTAGCTGGAAATTGCAGCTAAGCTGTTCAAATTGCAGAATCAGCTACTTTTTCTAACACACTCTTTAAAAATTGCTTGTGACACAAGATGGGGCTCCATGTACAAAATGATTTCAAGATATATAGAACAAGAAAAGGCTGTAACTGCAGTACTTTCAGCAGATCGAAAAAGTTCTAGTCTAATACCAAAGTGGCAGGATATTGAAATTTTAGAGAGTGTTGTGAAAGCATTGGAACCAGTTGCAGAATTTACTGATGTCCTAGGCAGCGAAGAGTATGTTAGCATATCCCAGTTCTGCATATGCTAAATAATACCACACTGATTGAAAAGCCTGGTGATAGCCAACTCACTACAGATACTAAAACCCAAATTTTGAAATATATATCTGAATGAAAAATATTCAGATGCTACTTCACGAATGTTACTTAATATTGCCACATTTGTCGATCCACGCTTCAAAGTCAAATATTTAAAGGATGGAGAGGATGCTTCTGTCCATACCAAATTAAAAGAACAAATTGTGCTTACAAGTGAATATAGTGAGCTTCATTTTAATCTAGTTGTTCCTAACCATGACCTATCTGAACCAAGCTCCAACAAAAAGTTTAAATTGGCAAAACTTTTAAGACAACATGAAGACAGTGGAGTAAATGATTCTAATAGTAGTTTCAACTTGTCAGAAGACCAGTTAATAGATAGAGAAATAAATCACTACCTCTCACTTCCCCATTTAGAGTATGAATCGGATCCATTGCTTTGGTGGAAGCAGACTGCAATCCAGTTCCCCAAGATAGCCAATGTAGCTAGAAAATTCTTGTGTGTTCCAGCAACAAGTTGTGCATCAGAAAGGCTCTTTAGCACAAGTGGCAACATAGTCACTTGTAAGGGAACCCGACTTAACAAAGGGCAATTCTATGTCTACTTGTAAATACAATGCTTGCTGAATTTGGCAATTCAAACACTATTTTTAACAGGGCATGGAATAAATAATATTCTCTATGTTAATAAATACTTTTATTATATAACAGACATATATACATGTATATTAAGAATGAAACGATCCTTTTTAGTTTTTATTTAGTTAAGGTAAAATATCGCGATATGTGTAGGTATCGTGATATAATTTTTAAAATATCGTGATGTGAAAAATTTTCACATCGCCCAACTCTATCCTAAGGCCTTCCTTTGAGCAAGTTTTGTAGTCATTTGACTACAAAAAAGTTACTGGCCTATAACTTCCTTAATTTCCAAACTGTACTGTACATACCTGACATATAATAATAAACAAATTCCCATAATTATATGATTTGATTAAACCCAACTGCTATACAAAATTTATGTTCATTTTAAAATGGCCGCCAAACCAGAATTATGTATGTCACTCGAAAATAGAGTAAAAAAATGTTTGGTAAGATAAGATTATGATTTCAGTGTTCCACTCTTCACTATTTGTAACATAATTGCTTATATCCATGCAAATTGTGGTGATATGTGTTGAAAATTTTGCAATTGAACATAATTTTACTTGCTCAAACAAAGCCTCGAATAGTGTATCAATTTCAGCCGTAGATGAGAATTATCACGGCTGTAAATTGCAGAAATACTTTACTATGCGTAAGCGTGGTTGGGTAGGCCGATTGTCAAATTTGTCCACTTTACATTATAAGATAAGATTATTTGGTCAAGTTGCGAGGTTTTGTTCTCAAGATGGTATGTGACAAGGATTAGGGTCGCCTGCCCAACTATGTGTTAGTTAGTGTCCAGTGGAAATTAAACTTCTCTAAACTAGGGGACATATGGTGGGTAAGATGCTGGCTCACAAGTCTGGAGGTCGCGTGTTAGATCCCTGTATTGGCGAAGAAAGTACATTGTGATTTTCCAATGTGGTTTCCCCTCGCCAGTGGTGCCGGGCGGAGGGCCTGATAAGGACATCTATCTAGTCGTTCAGATGGTATGAAAAACCCATTGACGTGCACATAAAAGATCCCTTGGCAGTTGGAATTCGATAGAAGAGTAGGCCATAGTGCCACTGCCGGGCAAAATTTCCCTCATAGCACACTGTATGACATATACCCGTCTTCATTAGCCCAGTCGGAGCAGAACAGTAGAAGGACATTAAACCCCATTTCAATTCATTTCTCTAGACTAAGCCTTAACTTCTGAAAAAAAAATTTGAATTTCTCCAAAACTGAGTAGGCCCAAATGAAGGTTTACAACTAAAAATTTGTTATCTGAACGGTTGTTTAAAATCAGTTTTACAGTAAAATATTTCTACATAATTTTAGTCTTATATTTGTCTGAATGAATGTTACTGCTAAAAAGAATATACAGTACCATAGGTCTACCTGGTTGTACTTGTTTCGAATTGATGTTATTGTTATATCATTTAGTTATGATTTTTTTTCTCTTTTGTGATAGAAACAACTCATATAAAAGAGTAAAACAGGCAGAGAAATATTACGAAGCTTTACCAGAGCGTCACAAGGCAATGATACCATATTTTAAAGATCATTTAGAAACAGTTAAAACATGTGTTGATCATAATGCTGAAGTTGTGAACATGCTGATTAAAGATGCTGATGTCATGTTTGAAAATCAAAGTAAACTCATAGAAGTTAGTTTTTCATAACTGCTTGTGTAGGTAGAAAAGCTATAAAAATAGTTTATTACCTGAACAACCTGATTATGTTACATTTTTTGTCCCCCGCCTTTCAAAGAAATGGGTTTGTCCGTCTGTCTGTCCGTCACACTTTTTGGGACACAATAACTCTTTCTAATTGAGCTAGAATGTTCAAACTTGATGTAGGTGTTTATTAGGTCAATGCCTTGATGGAGTTCGAAGATGAGCATTTTCTGCTTAGGGTAAGCAGAGATAAGCAATTTGATTGGTTGATGCTTTGGGACACGATAACTTTAGTTCTAATCAAGTGAGAGTGCTGAAACTTGGTGTATAGTTTCATTACATCAATACCTTGACTAAGTTCGATAATGAGCATTTTCTGCTCAGGGTAAGCAGAGCGATAAGCAATTTGATTGACCAAGACTTTGGAACACAATAACTCTTCTTCTAATTGAACTAGAATGTTCAAACTTGATGTAGGTGTTTATTAGGTCAATGCCTTGATGGAGTTCGAAGATGAGAATTTTCTGGTTAGGGTAAGAAGAGATAAGCAATTTGATTGGTTGGTGTTTTGGGATACGATAACTTTAGTTCTAATTAAGTGAGAGTGATGGAACTTGGTGTATAGTTTCATTACATAAATACCCTAAGTTTGATGATGAGCATTTTCTGCTCAGGGTGAGCAGAGCGATAAGCAATTTGATTGGTCGAGACTTTGGAACACAATAACTCTCATTCTAATTAAGGTAGAATGCTCAAACTTGGTGTAGGCATTCATTAGGTGAATGCCTTGATGGAGTTCGATGATGAACATTGTCTGCTTACGGTAAGCAGAGATAAGCAATCTGATTGGTTGTTGCTTTGGGACACGATAACTTTGGTTATAATGAAATAAGAGCGATGAAACTCTGATTATAGATTCATTATATCATTAGCTTGACTAAGTTCGATGGTGAGAATTTTCTTCTCAGGCTAAGGAGCAATAAGCAATTTGATTGGTCAAGACTTTGGAACATAACAACTCTGCTTTTAATTGAGGTAGAATGTTTAAACTTGATGTAAATGTTCATTAGGTGAATGTCTTGACTCAGTTTAATGATTATGACAAAATTATTATTCAGGCTGGAGGGAATGACTATCAGAGCTACGGTCCTTTTCTGATATTATGTATGACCTGAAAAGAACAGTGGACACTATTAAAAAGAAAAGGCCAATTGCACATCTTTTCATCTGTGAGGCTACACCAAGACATGACATGGCAGGACAAAATATTGATCATAACATTCAATTTTATAACGATCTCCTTTGTGAGTTTTGTGTTCAAAAGGCAGTAACCCTAATTCAATAAAATCTGATTACAGACTTATTTGGGAAGACAATATTCGCCTGTCTGACAGAGGTACATGTACATCTTCACTACTACATATTTATGAAGAATATGTAGACATTATCAAGGAAAGACGCGACATTAACAATAGTTCCATTAAACCCTGTTTCTTTTGTGATATTTCGGGTCATACAAAAGACACGTGTAAAATTCGTACCAAGGTTGCTGGTGTAATATTGAGGGCCATAAAGTGAATAGTTGTTAAGCATTTCATCGACAATATTGTACAGATAGGTACTAGGATAAAGGCAATGTTTTTGAAGCCGAAAAAAACAAGTATGATTCTGAGTTATAATAATTTTATGCAATATATGACTAACACCACTAATATTTTTGATTATTCTATTGAACCATTGATTGATACATGTAACTTCTGCTGTTTGACTAATTAATGTTACTCTTTCAAGTAATAGCACTACTTAAATGATACTGAAACTTCCTTTAATAATCCTGTTAGTACTGATAATAATAGTCTGATTTTTGAAGATCACACCAATTAATGATCCAACAATGCACGAAGGCGACCTCAGCAGTCAGTTTATTGACTCTCATGTAGCCCTCGTATCGATTCATTACAATCCATCGATGATCACTCTGTTTCCACATTATTTTCAAGCAAATGTAAAGGTTTTAAAATATAAATAGACTTTTTGGTAAAATTAATGAAGTAAAGAATTTTATTTTGCAAGATAATGAAAATTTAAATGTCATGGGCTTCTCTGAAACATTTTTACATTCTAAAATTGACGATAGATTTATTAATATCTTTGGTTATGATCTGATCAGGAAAGATCGATTGAGCAAAAGTGGCGGAGGCCTTATCTTATATGTAAATTCAGACCTAAAATATTCAAGAAAACTTGATATGAACATCAAAATATCGAATCCATCTGGATTGTACTCCATCCAGAATATGGAAAATCATTTTTATACGCCCACATTCATCTGTACGAAAAATCGCGTTTTTAGCTTGTGGTCCCTCTAGAGGTCACAATTTTCTTCTGATTTCGATGGAACTTGAAATGTAAGTTTATATCCCAAAGATCTCGGTTCCTTTCGATATTCGTGCATATTGAATTGTAACTTCCTGAATTATGGCCCCTGATTGTACGAAAAATTGCGTTTTTAGCTTGCGGATTCTCTAGAGGTCACAATTTTTGTCTGATTTTAAAAACCGTTTAAATACATCACCATTCCACCATAATGAAGAATAAACCGTATTTCGGGAAATCAAAATGAAACTGCCCGACAAAATGGCCGCTCTTTGTATGCAAATTGTGTAGAAGTGTGTAACAAAGGATGTGGACCCACTAAAGGTCACAATTTTTATCCGATTTTGATGAAACTTAAAACATATCTTTATATCCCAAAGATCTCAGTCCCTTTTGATATTTGCACATTTCAGGCCATAACTTTCTGGATTTTTGCCCCTGATTATACAAAAAATCGTGTTTGTTTTTTAGCTTGTTCTCTATCCATCTGTTGCAAAATGTGGGCGTATCCTGCCTGGCAGCCGCTGGTTATAAATGATCTCTAAATCAATATTGAATCAAGTCATATAGATTTGTTTGCTGATGACAGTACCCTGCATTGTTCACACAAAGATATTTTATCCATCGTCGATAATCTCCAAAATAATCTCTATTTGGTTGCTAAATGGTGTGAAAACAATGGGATGGTAATCAATCCTTCGAAAACAAAATCAATGCTGATTTCATCAAAACAAAAGAAATCAGAAAACCCTAACTTTATCACTTCATGGTGAGAAAATTGAGACGGTTACTACTACCGTAAAATTACTTGGAATTCAAATTGACGAAGACCTTAATTGGGAAGCACAGATAGCACATATGTCTAAAGAACTTGCATCAAAAGTATTTCTCCTAAATAAGATAAAAGATCATTTACCTTACAAGACAAGAATTTTGTTTTATAATATTTACAATTATATTACCAATATTTGACTATTGCTCTATTATTTGGTGGAATGCTACCAAAAGTAGATTAGACATTCTTTTAAAATTACAAAAGAGGGCAGCAAGAATTATTCTTTGAAGCCCCGTCCACCTCTTTATTTTCTAAACTCGGTTGGCTTACCCTTACACAGAGGATTCTTTATAATAAAATTGTCTTATCATTCAAAATTATTACATTTAATACTCCACTTTATCTAAACTCCTATTTTATTGAAAAATCTCTTGTTTCCAAAACTGATATCTTGCTTCATTCACAGGCCAGTAAATCTCTTTTTCCTTCAAAAATGCAAAATGGAATCCATGAACATACTTTTCATTATTCTGCATATCTTTTATGGAACAATCTGCCTTTTGGTATAAAGACGTGTAAAAATGTTGAAAATTTTAAGATTAAACTGAGAACTGATGACATACTTATTATTTTTCGTATATATTTAACTTGCAACAGCATTCTATCTTATTTTGTGTGTAATTATAGTGTTCTTCCTATATTTTACTTGTAAAATATATATGTTTTGTAGTTTAGGAGTGACTAGCCCAACTTCTCACTTTAAAATGTTATTGCATTTCAAATGATTTTGAATTTATCCTGATATTACTTGTATATATGTCTTTGTAGCTTCGAAGGGACTTATGGAAGATTAGTTTTTTTGCAAACTAAATAAGTTGCCTCGTTAAATAAAGTTTTTATCATTATTATTATTATTATTATTAACATTTTCGAGCTGAAGCTAAGCAAAGCTAAGCATTGGTTGATGCTTTGGGACAAGATAACTTTGATTCTATCTGATAGAGAGTGATGAAACTTAGTGTATAGTTGATAACCAGTTTGATTGCTCGATACTTTTGAAAAAATAAATGTGCGATTAATTAATATGGGTCATCTATTTATTTTGGGATTTCGGCGAGGGGACATCAGCCTCACTGTTAGCTTGTTTTATTTAATTTATGCAGAAAAGAGATGAATAGTTATTGATTGACAGTAAAATATACTCTTCAAAAAAATTAGGGGATATTCAGAAACAATACAAAACTTAGGAAATGCACTGCTGTTTTTATTAGAGGTAACCAGTGTATGTTAATAACAGGCCAATTGTCTACACATGAACATAAACAGTTCATATGAGCGGCTTATCTGATGGCCCCGTTTCACTCGCAAAGAGATACACTGTCAAAAGTAAAAATGGACGTTTTTGATTTTTGTCTTAATAATGAGTAATTGCTCCACCAATCCTCAGACATTCAGCAATTCATCGTGGCATGCTTCTAATCAACCGTCCAATCACGATTTAGGGCAATCTGACCTACTCCTCCCGGTCAAATTAAATGAAATGAAATGAAATGGGGTTTATCGTCCTACTGTTCTGCTCCTATACTGGGCTAATGAAGACGGGCATACGCCATGATACAGTGTACTATAAGAGACTATCGCCTACTCTTACATCGAATTCCAACTGCCAAGGGATCTTTTACGTGCATTCCAATGTATACACGGGACCTCGGTTTTTTGTCTCATCCGAAGGAATAGACAGCTGTCCTTGTCAGGCCCTCCGTCCTGCATCACTAACAAGGGGGAACCCGATCAAATTAAATGTAACACACTAAAGCAAAGATACGCTAAACAGTAAATCTTATGCAAGAATCGATAGGAAAGCAAACATTGATAGATAAAACAGCAAGCAGCAGTTTTCATCAACCCTTCCTTGAAGTGTCAAATTTGACAATGAACCCCTCCCACATGTATGGCGCTATTGCATGTAGCATGTGTTGCTCAGTGGTTCTTTTGGGGCAATAAGTTTTTCACCTGTGAACATATTCTCAAAGCATGTCAAGTGTCCATGACTATTTATCATATCACAATATCCCCTATTTTTTTTGAAGAGTATATGTCAGTTTGCCAAGAACTTCATAATGATAGCAGTAGCACCAACTCTATCAGGAATTTATCTTTAAAGTCACATTTTACAAGCAGTTACACTTAACACCTCTATAATGTTAATTTTGGAGGTACAGTGTTGCCTTACATGCATGTAGTCTCATTTACCCACGGCAGGCTTGAACCACTCCATTTATGTACCACATTGGGCCTGGTCACCGTATTATCAACACGTCATTAATTGATGTATAATAGTGGCCTAGAATAGCATAAGACAAAATCACAATGACCAATAGAGAATTGTTATAACATGAGGGACTAAGAACTGGTTACCAGTCTCTATTTTATTATAATATCATGAAAATGGCCACTGGATGCTGGTGACCATGGTATCGAAAGGGTTAAAGAAAAAAAAAATTGCACTTATTGTCTTGTCATTGTCTCCTTTATTTGTAGGTTTTTAAGGGAAATATCTGTAGTAGCAATAAGTTATTCTTAGAATTAAAAATGAGTTTATTGTTACAGAATGATACTTTGAAAAACACAATACCAAGTTTACAAGATATGTCTAAAGTCAAGACAACTTTACGACAGTTTGTAAGAGACTGGAGTGTTGAAGGACAAGAAGAAAGAAATGCCTGTTATAATCCTGTTATACAAGCTATTGAAAAATATTTCCCTGCAAGTGAATGGTACAGTAACCTTTCAGGGCTAGAAATTCGTCATTTTTTGCGAGAATCTAAGAGGATTCTCATATATGAAATCTGTGCAAATCTTCCGAATGTTAATTAATAATACTGTCTAAAAAACAAAATTGTGTTTATTGTGTTAATCTAAAACACCAAAATATAACAACAATGATAAAAAAAAACCCAATCAGATGGAGTTTTTGGTAAACACTTAAATTGTGTCAAAAGTAATATCCAGAAAATGCCGTAGTCAAAGTAAGCTGATACAGCACCATGGCATTTCTTTATAGCACAATTTGTAGTCTTTTTTCCATCACGTAACTAGTCAAGTAACTTGCAAAAGTTTTTATTCATTCGTCGATGATAGACAAACAGCACAATGATCACGTGACAACCATGACTGGAATTGCTATAAAATAAAATTCTGTACAATATGATATAGCCTTCAATAATATTTTTAAAATTAAGCCTCTGTTAGCATGTATATAAATAAAAAATCATAACGGTAAACGCTAACGGTAAACGCTATTTAGAACTGGTTTATTGACCTAATTCCAACCGATATGTCATGTGTCATTGAAATTCGGCATTCGAGATTCTGTTGGGAAAATATCCACTGTTTCTCTCTCTGTGTATTCGGTGTTCTATCAAGGGACTATATATTCAATGAAGATTTAAATTTACCTAACAACTGGTCAGTGAATCCATCAATGTATGATCCAGTTATTATTTTAATATCTACATGTACCTGGAATTCATACGGACGGAGCGTGGAAGATGCACGATTCGCAAACCATGCCGAGTTACTGAACCTATTATGAATTATCAGCAAGCTTGTTTTGTTTTTTTACCGGATTATCAAAATCACCGTTAAATGTGCTAATTACTCGGATTATGAACCACATATGGACGATTCTCACTGTTGTTGTAGCCGACACTTCTTTATTAACAAGTAATAATTAATGCGTTGTAATATTAGCCAAAAGTAGATTGATTTATGATACCATGTGGTTGATTCATTGTTTTACCAATCGGCTACATTAAACATCAATCGGCTAAACCCCACAAAATAGAGCCGATTAAGAACACTGACCCTGGCTGACATTCAACAGTTAGACTCGACAACTCTCCGAGATTTTTTTTTTTAAGAAAATTTTTACGCAAATCCTTATAGATTCGCAGCGTAAGCTCTGCGAGAATCCTTGCGCAAATTAGATTCGAAGATTCGCGTGGATTTCTAGCCCTGCCTTTTTATACGCCCACATTTTCATGTGGATGTATATTGTCGTCGCCCCTGTCTGTCCGTCCACAGTGGTTTGTGGACACTTTACAGGTCACAATTTTTATCCGATTTCAACGAAACTTGAAATATAGCTTTATCTCCCTAAGATCTCGTTTCCTCTTGATATTGGCATATATCGGACCTTAACTTCATGGATTATGGCCCCTGATTGTTCGAAAAATCGCGTTTTTAGCTTGTGGACCCTATAGAGGTCATACTTTTTATCCGATTTGAAAAAAACATATCACCGTTACACTCTAAGGATGGCTGAGTTTGAATTTCGTGAAAATCGGACCAAAACTGACAGACAAAATAGCCGCCCCTCGTACTCAAGTAGCGTAAAAATATTGTATATCAATGTTGTGGACCCTCTAGAGGTCACAATTTTCTTCTGATTTTGATGCAACTTGAAATGTAAGGTTATAACCCAAAGATCTTGGTTCCTTTCGATATTCACGCATATCGGATAGTAACTTCCTGAATTATGGCCCCTGATTGTACAAAAAATTGTTTTTTTAGCTTGAGGTCCCTCTAGAGGTCACAATTATTATCCGATTTAAAAAGAACGTTCAAATATATCACTGTTATACTGTAATTTTGGTTGAGTTTGAAAATCTGACCAAAATTGCCGGACAAAATGGCCGCCCCTCATACACAATTAGTGTAAACATCTGGTATATCAAAGTTGTCAGCATTAACTAAGCATTGTTGTGTACATGTATATATTGTCCTGTCATATTTTCATTTTTTATCATAGCTTGATAATGACTAGAGAAGCCTAGTCGAAACGTCGCTCTGTAAAAGGCAGTAATTGTATTCCATAGAATTGTGACCTGTATACTCTAGTTCAATTACTAAATGCCATTGAAACAGTTTATATCAAAGTTGTGGACCCTCTAAAGGTCACAATTTTGATCTGATTTTGATGAAACTTGAAATGCATGTTTATGACCCAAGGATCTTGGTTCCTGTCGATATTCGGGCATATCGGATAGTAACTTCCTGAATTATGGCCCCTAATTGTATGAAAAATCATGTTTTAGCTTGTTTTCCCCCTAGAGGTCACAATTATTATCCGATTTAAAAAAAAACATATCACTGTTACACCGTAATGTTTATTGAGTTCGAATTTTGTGAAAATCGGGCCAAAACTGCTGGACAAAATGGCTGCCCCTTGTATGCAAATAGTGTAAATATATGGTATATCAAGGTAGTGGACCCTCTAGAGGTCATAATTTTCATCCGATTTTGATGAAACTTGAAATGCATGTTTATAGCCCAAAGATCTTGGTTCCTTTCGATATTCACGCATATCAATAATGACCCTTGATTGTACGAAAAATCGCGTTTTGAGCTTGTGGTCCCTATACAGGTCACAATTTTTATCTGATTTAAAAAAAACAGTGAATATATCACAGTTATACACTAATGATGGTTGAGTTAGAAATATAGTCTAAATATATGGTATATCAAGGTTGTGAAATGTGGTTGTACATGTATATTGTTGTCGCCCACGTCCGTCCGGCCGGCGTTCAGGCTAAAGTTAATATCCGATTGACTTTAGATTTTTACAGTGATTAAGGTCATGAGACGAAGAAGCCTATTGATTTTCAGCGATTTCCGATCATTACTGCCAGTGTTATGGCCCTTGATCACTTCAAAAAATCTTGTGGACGCTCTAGAGGCCAAAGTTAATATCCGATTGACTTTTAATTAATACACAGTGTTAAATGTCATGAGACGAAGATACCTATTGATTTTGAGCAATTTCAATTACTGCCAGAGTTATGGCCCTTGATCACTTTGAAAAATCTTGTGGACGCTCTAGAGGCTAAAGTGTATTATAAATGTTTCATTACTGAAAAGGTAAAAATATGCGACAACTCTTGTTGACTGCCCAGATGATTTAGCTGCTGTGGGCGTATTTTTCGTTGCCTGGCAACCTATCTTTATGACTTGAACAGCTAAATCCATGATATTAAAAGTTTCGTATACTAAATGTTAGCATGGGGCAGAACTTTATAAAATCCAATCAAATTATAATGGTTATCTGATAATTACTTTATAAGTTGTTACTCTTAATCAGATTTTTGTGTATTATAAATGTTTCATTACCAAAAAAAGGAAAAATATGCAACAACTCTCGTTGACTGCCTGGATGATTTAGCTGCTGTGGGCGTATGTTTCATTGCCTGGCAACCTATCTTGATCTAATTTGGATGAAACTTTAAAGATCATAAAGATCTTGGTTCCTTTTGATAATCACACATATCCAAACGTAACATCCTGTATTATGGCTCCTGATTGGTCGAAAAATCGCATTTTTGGCTTGTGGATTCTCTAGAGGTCACAATTTTTTTTTCTAATTTTAAAAACCGTTTAGATATATCACCATTTTACAATAATGAAGGTTGAATTTGAATTTTGGGAAAATTGAAATGAAACTGCCCGACAAAATGGCCACTCACCGTACAAAGGTTATGGACCCTCTAGAGGTCACAATTTTTATCCGATTTTGATAAAACTTAAAACATATCTTTATATTCCAAAAATATTAGTCCCTGTCGATATTTGTGCATTTCAGACCATAACTTTCTGGCTTATGGACCCTCATTGTACAAAAAATTGTTTTTATTTTTAACTTGTTCTTTATCCATCTCTTGTAAAGTGTGGGCGTATCCTGCATGGCATCCTCTGGTTTTACGAATAATTCCTTTAATGGTCATTGAAGAATAGAATAAAACAGGCCATTGTTTTAAGTCACATTTGGTGTAAAACTCGCAGACTGAAAATTAATTTTGGCTCCTGTCAATCCAAAAAATCACCTTTGACAGTAATTACCTTGTATTTGATAATCTGTATGTGGCTAAAACGGTTTTAGTAAAACCATAACAACGGATACATTCTTAATCTTAACATGTATATTTATATTATAGGCCCACATTTTCATGTGGATGATATTGTCGTCGCCCCTGTCCGTCCACAATTGTTTGTGAACACTCTAGAGGTCACAATTTTTATCCGATTTCAACAAAACTTGAAATATAGGTTTAACACCCTAAGATCTCGGTTCCTTTCGATGTTGTCATGTATCGGACTGTAACTGCATGGATTATGGCCCTTGGTTGTACGAAAAATCACGTTTTTAGCTTGTGAACACTGTAGAAGTCACAATTTTTATTCGATTTTGTTGAAACTTAATATGTAAGTTTATAACCGAAATGTCTCAGTTCCTTTCGATATTCGCGCATATCGGACCGCTACTTTCTGAATTATGGCCCCTGATTGTACGAAAAATCGCGTTTTTAGCTTGTGGACCCTATAGAGGTCATAATTTTTATCCGATTTAATAAACCGTTTTAGTATATCACCGTTACACCCTAAGGATGGCTGAATTCGAATTTCGTGAAAATCGGACCAAAACTGACTGACAAAATGGCCGCCCATTGTTCTCAAATAGCGTAAAAATATGGTATATCAAGGTTGTGGACCCTATAGAGGTCACAATTTTTATCCGATTTTGTTGAAACTTGAAATGTAAGTTTATAACCCAAAGATCTCAGTTCCTTTCGATATTCGTGCATGTCTGACCGTAACTTTCTGAATTATGGCCCCTGATTGTATGAAAAATCGTGTCTTTAGCTTGTGGACCCTATAGAGGTCATAATTTTTATCCGATTTTAGCTTGTGGACCCTATAGAGGTCATAATTTTTATCCGATTTAATAAACCGTTTTAGTATATCACCGTTACACCCTAAGGATGGCTGACTTCGAATTTCGTGAAAATCGGACCAAAACTGACTGACAAAATGGCCGCCCATTGTTCTGAAATAGCGTAAAAATATGGTATATCAAGGTTGTGGACCCTATAGAGGTCACAATTTTTATCCGATTTTGTTGAAACTTGAAATGTAAGTTTATAACCCAAAGATCTCAGTTCCTTTCGATATTCGTGCATGTCTGACCGTAACTTTCTGAATTATGGCCCCTGATTGTATGAAAAATCGTGTCTTTAGCTTGTGGACCCTATAGAGGTCATAATCTTTATCCGATTTAAAGAAACGTTTGAATATATCACCGTTATGCCCTAAGGATCGTTTTGACAGACAAAATGGCCACGTCTCGTAGTCAAATAGCATAAATTGTGGACTCTGTAGAGGTCACAATTTTAATCCGATTTTGATGAAACTTGAAATGCATGTTTATAACCGAAAGATCTTGGTTGCTTTCGATATTTGTGCATAATATATCACCGTTTTACCCTAAGGATGGTTGAGTTTGATTTTCTTGAAAATCGGCCCAAAACTGACAGACGAAATGGCCGCCCCTCGTTCTCAAATAGCGTAAAAATATGGTATATCAAGGTTGTGGACACTCTAGAGGTCACAATTTTCTTCTGATTTTGGTGGAACTTGAAATGTAAGTTTTTAACCCAAAGATCTTGGTTCCTTTCGATATTCATGCATATCGAATAGTAACTTCCTGAATTATGGCCCCTGATTGTACGAAAAATCACGTTTTTAGCTTGTGTACCCTATAGCGGTGATAATTCTTATCCGATTTAAAAAAACGTTTGAATATATCACCGTTATGCCCTGAGGATCGTTTTGACAGACAAAATGGCCACACCTCAAATAGCATACAAAATATGGTATATCAATGTAGTGGACTCTGTAGAGGTCACAATTTTAATCCGATTTTGATGAAACTTGAAATGCATGTTTATAACCGAAAGATTTTGGTTGTTTTCGATATTCGTGCATATCGGATCGTAACTTCCTGAATTATGGCCCCTGATTGTACGAAAAATCGTGTTTTTAGGTTGTGGTCCCTCTAGAGGTCATCACAATTATTAACCTATTTAAAAAAACTTTTGAATATATCACCGTTACACCATTATGATGGCTGAGTTCGAGTTTCGTGGAAATCGGACCAAAACTGCCAGACAAAATGGCCGCCTCTTGCACTCAAATAGTGTAAATATATGGTATATCAAGGTTGTGGATCCTCTAGAGGCCACAATTTTGATCCGATTTTGATGAAACTTGAAATACATATTTATAACCCAAAGATCTTGGTTCCTTTCGATATTCGTGCAGATTGGATCATAACTTCCTGAATTATGGCCCTTGATTGTACGAAAAATCACTTCTTTTTTTGAGCTTGTTCTCTGTCCATCTCTCATAAAATGTGGGCGTATCTTGCATGGCAACCGCTTGTTTTTTTTTTCTAGTGATCCATCAAAGATTAATATCTTAGTGCCTGGTTCTGGATTGGGCCGTCTGGCATACGATATTGCACAGAGAGGATATACCTGCCAAGGAAATGAATGGAGTCTTTTTATGTTAATTGCCTCAAATTTTATATTAAATAAGTAAGTAGACATTTAAATATTACATAGGAGAGACATTACTTATTAGTTGAATAGACAGGCAATACATACTAATGGGAAAGTAGGACATAAGTTAATAGTAACAAGTGAAACACGGATCTACTGCCTGTTCCAGGTGACACTACAACACGAAAATTGCTTGCCATTTTTATTTGCCCACATTTTCATGTGGACGTATATTGTCGCCCCTGTCCGTCCGGACGTCCGTCCTTCCACTGATTGTACGAAAAATCACGTTTTTAGCTTGTAGACCCTATAGAGGTCACAAATTTAAGCCTATTTTGATGGAACTTGAAATGTAAGTTTATAACCCAAAGATCTTGGTTCCTTTCAATATTCACGCATATCGGACAGTAACTTCCTGAATTATGGCCCCTGATTGTACAAAAAGTTGTCTTTTTAGCTTGTAGATCCTATAGAGGTCATAATTTTTATCCGATTTAAAAAAACGTTATAGTATATCACCGTTTCACCCTAAGGATGGTTGAGTTCGAATTTCGTGATAATCGACCCCAAACTGACAGGCAAAATGGCCTTCCCTTGTTCTCAAATAGCGTAAAAATAAGGTATATCAAGGTTGTGGACCCTCTAGAGGTCACAATTTTTATCCAATTTTGATGAAACTTGAAATGTAAGTTTATAATTCAAAGATCTTGGTTCCTTTCAATATTCGCGCATATCGGACTGTAACTTCCTGAATTATGGCCTCTGATTGTACGAAAAATCGCTTTTTGTTTAGCTTGTTCTCTATCCATCTCTTGCAAAATGTGGGCGTATCCTGCCTGGCAGCTGCTGGTTAATTAAAGCGGCTAAAACTTAGTTACATACCTGGAATTGCCTTCCCATTACTTTCTTACACTAGGGAAGCAATTTCAGATCAAGCTTGTTTGTTTACATCGCACTACTGAACATCAGCCATGTTTGACCTAGTTATCTGGAAGAGTCGATGTGGGAGGGAGGGTTGATTTGGCTCCAAGTCGTTTCGGCCAACTTGGTTGTATTGTAAGTTGTTTTGGCCCAGCAGTAAAATATAACTTTTTTTTTTATGGAATCCAAGACCACAGTTTGTCCAAATGACTTGAATATTTAATTGGCTCTGAGGGCTGTAGCATATTGATAATTGATGTTAACTACATACAGATTTTATCCTGAACTGCACGTGATGGAAATTTGGAAGGAGGCTATAGGCGTACACAATAATAACTCGGCCCATAATATTAGGTGTCACAACTTCCATTGCTCGCGTTGGAAGAAATTGTTTTTTCCTGATTTGTAACCCTTTTTATACGCCCACATTTTCATGTGAACAGTCTACAGGTCACAATTTTTATCCGATTTCAACGAAACTTGAAATATAGGTTTATCACCCTAAGATCTTGGTTCCTTTCGATATTGGCGTGTTTGGACTGTAACTTCATGGATTATGGCCCCTGATTGTACGAAAAATCATGTTTTTAGCTTGTGAACACTGTAGAGGTCACAATTTTTATCCGATTTGGTTTAAACTTGAAATGTATGCTTATAATCCAAAGATCTCGGTTCCTTTCGATATTCGCGCATATAGGACCGTAACTTCCTGAATTATGGCCCCTGATTGTACGAAAAATCACGTTTTTTAACTTGTGGACCCTATAGAGGTCATAATGTTTATCCGATTTTAAAAAACGTATTATTATATCACCGTTACACCCTAAGGACGGCTGAGTTCGTATTTCGTGAAAATCGGCCCAAAACTGACAGACAAAATGGCCGCCCCTCGTTCTCAAATAGCGTAAAAATATGGTATATCACTTTCTTTTTACCTTGTTCTCTATCCATCTCTCGAAAATGTGGGCGTATCCTGCCTGGCAGCCGCTGGTTAAACTTAACGTCACACAGTCGCTATTTAATCTTTTTTAATATTTAAAACAGATTTTGAATGCCGATATCTTATTCTTTTGTTTGATATAATTTTTATATACCTATTCTTCTTATTAATTTCATAAACGTAAGTTGAAAAACGTCAATTTTGCGTGTTTTGTAAAAAATTTTGTCACATTTTTAAACGGGGGTATCCCATTTCAAGTGCTCGGCGGCAGTTCTTATTATTAATATATTTTTTTCATTTTGATACCATTAGAAAGATAATTGAACGACCTTTCGATCGGTCGGTTATGGAATGTTGGCATTTCAAAATACCATGTATTTTTTGTAAGTTGAAAAAACAATTCACGCACACTTTTTATTGCCGTTCTGATGCTACTAAAATCGGAGCATGTTAAGTGCTGCAGCCGAGCACTTGAAAATGGTATACAACGTGACATTTTGTGAACGAATAAACCTCGCAGTGTTTCGTGTTATGATGTCATAAGACACGGCGAAGAAAAATGTATTTCAAGTTCCCAAGCCCCATATTCGTGGTAAATTACGTCGAAATGCAACTGAATGTTCATTTATGAAGTAAGCGTTATGTTATATGAATAAAGGACTTGCCCCAAAATAGATAATTCCATTTATTTTCACGCCTTTTGCAAGGGCGACTGTGTTGACATCACGTGACTCATATTCCCGCACTTCTACACTGAATGGAAATTTTCTGCCAGCTACAACACAACACGTCTTTTCATTTAACACCATAGTCTGGTATCATGACCAGATGTCAACATTAATTGGAACTAATGAGGATAGATTACTTACTAGCAGAACAGGGAGACAAAGCAATGTATTAAGACATTGGATATAATTCTAAGTACAAACATACTTCATGTAGTGTACAGTTGTAGTTTAATCTTGACATATTGTACTTTTTCAAACAATTCATTGTGACATGCGTCTACATATACCAGTTTGTAGAAAAGGGTGATACATTGCTCACCAGTGGAATAGCATTATGCTGCTAACTAGTTGAATAGCTTTATGTTGCTAACTAGCGGAATAGCATTATGTTGCTAACTAGTTGAATATCATTATGTTGCTAACTAGTTGAATAGCATTATGTTGCTAACTAGTGGAATAGCATTATGTTGCTAATAGGAAAGTCTATTGATGTAGATCTGGTTCATAAAACTATGTGGTTTGAACAACAAAAATTGACAAATGTATAGGAGTTGGTGTTAATGTTGACAGTCTTAAGAATCCATTTTGTCTTCACAATGCTTTCTAAAGCAGTATTGAGACTGCATATTATATATATATATATTACCAGATGTTAGTCTCAAAATTACCTTTAGTAAAGTGAGGTCGAGACGTCAAACTCATTTCTATTCTCTTTTATTAGCTTGCTTTTATTTACTATATTAAATGTTTAATTGTAGATGTTGTGATAAAAATAGTTTCATTATATATCCATGGATACATGAATGGACAAATAATAAAAGCCATGATCATCAGACATCAGCTGTTAAATTCCCTGATGTATGTCCATCAGAAGGACCATCTCTTACCAACTTTTCCATGGCTGCTGGAGACTTTCTAGAAGTTTATGCAACAAAAGGTGAGATGGATTTCTTTTTTTAACACTGCTACAAAAATTGTGTTTTTTCAGTTGCTGATACTCATAGACAATTCAGTATAACTGCTCGAATGACCCCTGACATAACCTCTTACTAAACTGGTCAGATCTTCAGGTAGTGGAGGCCATCGAAAGTATTAAAACAAAACGAAATATAGATCTTATTTTAATCAGGTTGCGTATAAATGTACCATGGGATTACTTCAAATAATTGCTTGTCGAGATCAAGTGTTGACAAAAACGAGCACTGATGTAATAATTCACATTATATAACAAATAAAACAATCTTCTTTGAGTGGCATTTAGCAATTGACACAAGTAATAAACACAAAACCATAATATGGAACACAATTACTGTTTTAATTAAAGTGACGTTTCGTTGAGGGTTCTCTCAACGTTTTCAAGCAAATGATGATGAAAATATGTGTGCGAGTTAGTTGTATTTTACGTCCGCTTCCACCGAGGTGATATCGCAGACAATAACATGTGTAAAATTTTACAATGTGATAAGTGAAATAAAGGATTAAAGAATTATTAGATATTTACATATATGTACAGAAGACAGTAAAAGACGGGACGAAAAGTGTAAAACATGTGTAAAATTTTACAATGTGATAAGTGAAATAAAGGATTAAAGAATTATTAGATATTTACATATATGTACAGAAGACAGTAAAAGACGGGACGAAAAGTTTTATGACAAGTGCAAAATGAGATGAGTGGGGACAGACATACAAAACGAATATGGGACAAAACAGAGATGAACATGAACAAACATTTAGACATAGTATGTACATATATATATATAAGTCAATCAGGTCGATTTGTCCGGTTGAATGGCAGGGCAGTGCACATCTTGGCTTGGGGTTTGTTGGTGAGTGTGGGGCCTGGACCATTCTTCCTTCCATTTCATCTTCTAGTCTGGTATGGTGGTAGGTTTTATCTTTGCTTCTGTTTGTTCTTTCCTTTAATTTTATTATTGGCTCTCTGAAGGAAGAATCCAGCACCTGAAAAAAAGAGGAGAGAGAAAGAGTGTATCTGATCGTACAGCTGTTCTGGATTTGTTTCGTCTAGTGAGGCTTCGGGGAGAGGGGGGGGGAAGAGAAAAAAAAAAAAATAGTAGTGTTTATGGCAGTAGTTTCGTTCAAAAGATATGAATTTGTTAGTAGGTGTTAGTGACATTACAATTTACATACATGAATATATGATTTGATCTACAATCAATGTTTATTTATTTTAAATAAGATAGAGATAAAGTAAAATATAACTGAAAAATAATCGAGATAAAAAATATTTGAACAGGGTGTGTTACGTTTCCCTCTGTGGATCATTCTTACTTTTTAACCTTGTCAAGTTGTTTGAGTAGTGCAAGGCAGTTGGCCTTTCTCTCTAGAGACATTTTTGTGCCTCGCCTTGCTATGTGTTTTTTAAATTGATTAGTTCATTTGTTTAATTTGGTTTAGTGGTGCAAGGTGGTTGGCGTTACCCTCTAGGGGACATTTTTGCGTGCCGCCTTGCCTTTGGTTGGTTACCTAGCTCTTGTTTTCATTTATCATTATATGAATTTTTCCATACCTATATTTTCTATGAAGTCCCAGATAAGCTGAGGGTCCAGTATCTGTCATCTGGGTGCGGGGAAAGGAGACAGAAGGTTCTGCCCCTCTTTGTTAGATTGTCAATCATTGATTGTCGTTTGTTTGTTAACTGATTGCAATCTATTAATAAGTGAGAGGCGGTTGCGATACATCCATACATGCATTTGATTGGTGTATAGGTGTAGTCTTTGACTACCTCTATTGTTTTGAGCCTCGTGACGAGCCTGCATATTTTGATTAAAGGATGATTGATGTAAACCTTGTCTACAAGATTCCTATCTATTTGATAGCGATGGGTGTTTTCTTGTTTTTAAGACATGTTTTCCATGCACTTTTAATCTTCTCTTTTGCTATGCCTGCAAATTCCTGACTGCTATATTCTAAATTTTCTAGTTCATTTAGTGACAACCCCTCCTTGGCTAGTTTGTCGGCTTGTTCATTGCCGAAAATATTGACGTGGGAGGGGATAAATGCAAGGACTACTTCCCTTCCACTATTCTTAATTTTTTGATTAAGGTCCCTAACTTGATGGATTATGTCCTGCCGGCTTTTGGAGGAGTTTGATTCTATGGATTTGATGCTACTCAAGGAGTCAGACAAGATTACCGCTTTTTGGTGTGTTTGCGTAGCTAGCCATTCCATTGCAGTTTTAATGGCCATCGGTTCTGCGGTGTACATAGAACAATGTTCTGGTGGCCTTTTCCTGATATTCAGCTTTGCTTTGGGTATGTATAAGCCATATCCTATTGCCCCCTGTGTAGTGTTTTTGGATCCATCTGTGTAGATTTTTAGATGATCTGTCCATTTGGTGGCTATTAATTCTACTGCTAGTGCTCTAGCCTCTATGTTGATGATTGAATCACTTAATTGCCAAGGTGGTGTGTCAGGGAAGGTTTTTGTCTCGATAATGGTTTCTTTCAAATTGTGCTTATTTAAAGTAGCTAAGTCTCTAACTCAATATCATCCAAATTCTTCGAGATTGAAAACACAAATTATTTGTCAATTTAAATCAACATTGATGTTATGGTCTTACCTGGAAGACATTGGCTTCTGATATCCAATATTTAAGACAAAATAAACATTTTACCATTGGTACACGAATCGTGTACCATAATAACTTTCCACGCCATTTGTAACAGAAGAATGAGACAAGACATATTCCACAAATCATGTCAAACAGTGACAGCATATTCTTATCTGGAGAGCATGCGCAGTAAATACTATCGGTGTAGACTGGAATAACCAGACGCTAGAGATTGCCATTCGATTGAGACTTCTGGCGTATTTTGCCGAACATAACTGATTAGAATTTACAGTAAAAACGGAAACGATTGAATGTAAATCAGGTTATATACATTCACATTACATTATTATATGCGTTGCGACCCATTTGTGTCAATTTCTAGGTCCCAAATATTAGCGATTTAGCTCCTTTAAGATATCTTTTGACATTTGCCCAAATGTCATGGGCTGGGTGTTTTTCCTGAAACCTATCCGTTTAAATTGTTTTAGACACTTATATGTCGGGCATCTTTCTTTTAGCATTTGTAGTTGTCCCCCGCCTTTCGAAGAAAGCAGGGGACTATTAAAATGGGTTCGTCCGTCTGTCTGTCCGTCTGTCTGTCCGTCTGTCCGTCCGTCTGTCTGTCCGTCACACTTTTTGGGACACAATAACTCTCTTCCTAATTGAGCTAGAATGTTCAAACTTGGTGTATGTGTTTATTAGATCAATGCCTTGATGGAGTTCGAAGATGAGCATTTTCCACTTAGGGTAAGCAGAGATAAGCAATTTGATTGGTTGATGCTTTGGGACACGATAACTCTCTTCCTAATTGGGCTAGAATGTTCAAACTTGGTGTATGTGTTGATTAGGTCAATGCCTTGATGGAGTTCGAAGATGAGCATTTTCCGCTTAGGGTAAGCAGAGATAAGCAATTTGATTGGTTGATGCTTTGGGACACGATAACTTTTAATTGAGCTAGAATGTTCAAACTTGGTGTATGTGTTTATTAGGTCAATGCCTTGATGGAATTTCGAAGATGAGCATTTTCCGCTTAGGGTAAGCAGAGATAAGCAATTTGATTGGTTGATACTTTGGGGCACGATAACTCTCTTCCTAATTGAGCTAGAATGTTCAAACTTGGTGTATGTGTTGATTAGGTCAATGCCTTGATGGAGTTCGAAGATGAGCATTTTCCGCTTAGGGTAAGCAGAGATAAGCAATTTGATTGGTTGATGCTTTGGGACACGATAACTCTCTTCCTAATTGGGCTAGAATGTTCAAACTTGGTGTATGTGTTGATTAGGTCAATGCCTTGATGGAGTTCGAAGATGAGCATTTTCCGCTTAGGGTAAGCAGAGATAAGCAATTTGATTGGTTGATGCTTTGGGACACGATAACTTTAGTTCTAATTAAGTGAGATTGATGAAACTTGGTGTATAGTTTCATTACAGTAATACCTTGACTAAGTTTGATAATGAGCATTTTCTGCTCAGGGTAAGCAGAGCGATACGCAATTTGATTGGTCGAGACTTTGGAAAACAATAACTCTCCTACTTTGATTGTTAGACTATAAGTAAAGATATACTGTTTGATTGTTCAATACTTTGTAAAAGATAATTTGTGATAAATTTATATGTGTCCTCTAATTATTTTCCTATTTCGGCGGGGGACATCAGCCTCACTGTTGGCTTGTTTATCCCAATACTTGAGTGACAGTTCTTCGCGCCTGAGATCAAGTGGAAGCTCTCCCAGCTCGTGTAATAGGGCAACTGTTTTGGTTCCTATGGCTGCTCTGGTTGCTAGTCTTATCGCTTTGCTTTGTATTGTGTTGTGTTTAGTTTACTGAGTTGCATTTGCATGCCATAAGCCAGACATCCGTAGTCGATTACCAAGCGGATGAGTGCTCTGTATATTAACATAAGAGTGCCCCTTAGCGCCCCAGTGAGTCCCTCTCGTGTATTTCATCATGTTGAGCGTTTTGGATGTGAGACTTACTATGCCATCGGTATGTGGCTTCCAAGTTAGTTTTGAGTCGAACGTCATGCCAAGTACATTTGGCCTCTGATTTGAATTCAGCTTTTGTACCGTTCAGATTTAAATCGATTTTCCTGTTATTATCAGTTGGATGAAACAGTATTGCTACCGTTTTTCCCTCTGATATTTTGAAGCCCAGTCATTTGTCCACTTGGAGATTTGTTCTAGGGTGTATTGGAGTGATTGTTTGATTTTACCTATATCCCTAGATGCTTTCCAGAACGAACTGTCGTCTGCGAATAGTGCCGATTCTCTGTGTCCTTCCCCCTGTAATTCAGAAGATCATTTATCATAATGTTAAAAAGTATTGGGCTGATAACGGATCCTTGCGGCGTTCCGTTTTCCATTTTGAATTTTTCGCTCAAGCAGTTCCCTACGCGTACTCTGATATGCCTATCATTGAGAAAATCTTCTATCCACTTGTACATTCAGCCTTTGGTTTTTGCATTGTGGAGTTTGTGTAAAAGACCGTCCACCCATACAAGATCAAAAGCCTTTGTTAAGTCGACGAAAATTGCACAAAGGTATTGTTTGGCTGTAAATGCTTTGGAGATGTCATGTTGCAATCTAATGATATGGTCTGCAGTAGACCTGTCGGAACGGTAGCCAGTGCTTTCTCGGGTAGATATTTTAGCAGTGTGTATTTCACACAGTCTAGCCCTTCAGCCCTGTCAGTTTTAGCCCGCAATGTTTTTTTCAGCTCATCTATATTAATGGGACTATTGAGTTCTGACTCATTATCTGCATCTTTGTGCACTATTTTGCGTTGTTTTTTTTTAAGAATTTGTTTTTATTTGCCCTGAAAGCATCATTGTGCTGGCTGTTGCTACAGCCGTCGGTATAAGTCTGACCTAACAAGTTTGCCTTGTGCGTGTTAATTAAGGCCGATTCGGTTTTATAAGTTGGTAAAGGTTTATTTTGTCTGGCTTTGTTTCCCTTGATGCCTGATATCTTGTTCTATACTGTTTTTATATTCGTCAGTTTATTATATATTTAGCAGTCACTAGATTATAGGCACTTATGGGTATCTCACACATATTTATTAATTAAGTAGTGTTCAATTTCCTGTGATTATTGCATAATAAGCATATGGTAGATAGATTCCTTCATCTCTGTTTAATGCTGGTTTGTATCGTTTTACGTTGATGGCTTCCAAGATCTTCTTTTTCTTTGTGTGATTTTGGTGGATTGCTAATTTCTTTGTCTTTTCCCATAGTATTTTGTGTTTTGGATTTTGACGGATATGGTCTGCTACAGCTGAGGTCTGGTTAGATGGTTTAGGTTATGTTGACAAAGTCTTACATCTAGTGGTTGCCTGGTTTCCCCAATGTAGCTGCTTTTACAGGAGCAGAAGACTTAATAAATGCATCCTTTAGGGGACGTTGGTTTCGTTGACTTACATTTCCCATTGGCTTGGAGGATGTCTTTAATAGTGTTAGTGCCTGAGAAAGTAACCTGGAAACTAGCTTGTTGCAACAATTTCCTTATTTGGTATGATGTTTTGATAATAAAAGGGATAGTGATTCTGATTGGTGGCTTATCTTGTGATTTACATTTGGTGTTTGTGCTTTTTTCATTATGTCTACTACTAGTTTATGTAGATAGCCGTTGAGGGTGGGTCATCTCTGCATCTTGTTTCTCAGGTGTTGAAATTCTTTTTACTCGTTTTACTATAAAATGATAAAGTTGCTCTTTTGATTCCGATTGGTCGCTTTAATTAAAACAGTAATTGTGTTCCGTATTATGGTTTTGTGTTTATTAAAGTTACATTATGGGAGATTCGATAACGAGTTGGCAGTTCTCACTATAATAGTTAAAAACTAGATAATGTAAAGGAAATTTGCTGAAAAGTTAATTCAAATTGATCCATTATATGAACTGAGAGCAAAGTGATTGAATTTCCACCTCGCCATGATCATCATTACTAAAGTCAGTACAATAAACGGCATAATCTCGATTATCCATTTAATCGTTAAATCGTGAAGGAAAGTTATGCAGTAAATCGGCACACAATCCACTAAAGATCGCAGGCTAGTGATGCCATCTAGAACTGATTATGGTCTGGATAGGTTAATAATGTCTAATTAATAATTTAGATAACATTTCAGGTCTAAAGAAAGACCTGCAATAGACAGATTTAGCTCTTGCATAATGTATGGTTAAATAAAACAATAGTATAGAATTTTATTAAAATAGATTTATCATACAATTGTTCACCAGACAGTTACTTTCTATCTATAAAAGTTTTATAAACAATTTGGTAATAAATTAAAATGTCATTACATAACATTATTTCATCCTTATCTAGTCACCTTTTAATAGCACATACAGGATTAATAGTCTGGAGGCTCAGCGCGGGGTGGGGGGGGGGGTGTCCATCAAATGGGCACAAAACCAGGCCCAACTTTTCTAGAGTAAAATTTTGCGTAGAATACGATGCCGAGTGGTAATCAGTCCGCAGTTGGGGCGTTTTCGAGATATTCGGAGTTAAAGGTCAGATGGGTTCATTTGCACTGAAAGTGAATGCGCGGTCATTCTTGTATCATGAAAATAAGCTGAAAATGATCGAAAGTAATCACACTTTCAATAAAAATATAAACTTGCTAAAGTTAAAGGTTATTTAAAGGTTATACCATTCTAACTCATTCTAACATACCAACTCATGCAACATAAATTTATCACAAAAATATTAATTAGTAGCAATGAAAGATTCATACTACCTGTTACAAACATGTATAATACCTGCAGGTATTTATATATTACAATTCATATCTAGAATATTTCAAATATGACATTAATAATTTAGAATATTTCAAACATGACATTAATAATTTAGAATATTTCAAATAATACTTTAATTTAAAAGTGAAAGCCTTTAACTTAATTGATTTAAACTCCCGGGACAATAATTATTCTTTAAAACATTATAGACCGGAGGCTCAGCGCGGGGGGTTGTCCGTCAAATGGGCACAAAACCAGTTCCTATTATTAATTATAACAGGTTTCGCTTTAGTTTTTATATTTTACGTTGACATTTTATTGCTATAAATCTTCCTAGTGCAAAAACTGTAAATTTCACCTTTTGACCTCCAGGGTCACTAAGACTAAAGGTGAATTTAGCAAGTTTACATTTTTATTGAAAGTGTGATTACTTTCGATCATTTTCAGCTTCTTTTCATAATACAAGAATGGCTGCGCATTCACTTTCAGTGCAAATGAACTCATTTGACCTTTGACCCTGAATATCTCGAAAATGCCCCAAGGGCGGACTGATTACCACTCAGCATCGTATGGTACGCAAAATTTTACTCTAGAAAAGTTGGGTCTGGTTTTGTGCCCATTTGACGGACAACCCCCCGCGCTGAGCCTCCGGTCTATAATGTTTTAAAGAATAATTATTGTCCCGGGAGTTTAAATCAATTAAGTTAAAGGCTTTCACTTTTAAATTAAAGTATTATTTGAAATATTCTAAATTATTAATGTCATGTTTGAAATATTCTAAATTATTAATGTCATATTTGAAATATTCTAGATATGAATTGTAATATATAAATACCTGCAGGTATTATACATGTTTGTAACAGGTAGTATGAATCTTTCATTGCTACTAATTAATATTTTTGTGATAAATTTATGTTGCATGAGTTGGTATGTTAGAATGAGTTAGAATGGTATAACCTTTAAATATATATAACGCAGTATATTCTAAAAAGGTGTAGAGTTGACCAAAGATTGTTGTGCATGTTTTTGATTGTAATGCTCCCTTGTCCGAAACGAGCATTATCTTTAACTATAAAAATTATTGTATTACTATTAGCTATTACACAAATTTTGTTATATATTTTACAGATGTGTTTGATTGTGTGGCTTCTGTATTCTTTATAGATACAGCTCATAACATTATAGCATACATAGAAAAAATATACAATATCATAAAACCGGGTGGATATTGGATAAATCTAGGTTTGTAATACTTACGTTATATCTAGAGTTTAATACATGTCTGTATGTCATTGACCTTCTAAAATATATTATCCTTTTTTCTGAAAAACTTACTGCATAATAACAGGATCCACTGTCTCTTAATGCTCTGAATTCATAGCATAGAAAGAGTATTAAAATATAAAGCACTAAATAAAAGCTCAATTCAATTTAGAAATTATATTTTCAGTGATCGAAGTCCAGTGGTGTTTTTAAGCTTCAATTTCCCCAAGAAAATGCATTTGCAGCAATATACAAATGGACAAAACATTATTGCTAAACATTTGGTTAATGGATGTGATTGTAATAATTAATTATATTACAGAATGTTTCTATTACCAGGTCCTTTACTATACCATTTCGCTGACAGTGCTGTAGAAAGTTCAGTAGAGTTAAGTTATGAAGAAGTCAGACAAGTTATATTGGACTTTGGCTTTGTTTTTGAGGTAAATTTAAAAAAAAAAAAAGTATTGTTCTTTATTTTCTCTGAAATATTCATTGCCTGGCCCAAGATCTGTGACCCCTTGACCTTCATGAATCATGACCTAAAACATGCAGGTTAATTTGATACAAAATATATGGGGGTGGATCTCAGCGACGAAGCGGAATGGCAAACATACACACAGGCATCTTTGATTTATGTATATAGATGGAATACTAACCGTAAATTTTCAGAATTATTTATATTACTTGTTTTGCACATTTATAATTAATTATGTTATTCACTTAACACCCCATGTATTGATTGTAACACAAGAAGCAATAGGCAGACTATATTTGTAGTCTGGTAATGTAAAATATTATGACAGTTAGATTTCTTGTCAGATTGTACTAATAAAGTAATAATAGTGGTCTAATTTGCTGTAGATTATCAGCCTTCTAAATGATCTGATTGGCTTTTTTTTTTTTTCCAAGTGTGTAAGCACATTTCCGGATAATAGATGCCATTTTTCTTGAATGAGCTTACTAAATTGAACAATAATAATCTGTTATATAAACGTTTGACTTTTGTTTTGGTGAGATAAAAACATTTTTTGCTCAGATTTGAGCTTACATATTTTTATAAGACATCGGACCAGAAATTTTTTGGCTCTAAACAATGATGGTAATTTATATGAAAACCAATTCGGCTAAATTCAGAGTGGCGAAGTTCTCTTTAGGTGATGTTTGACTCTTAGCAGGTAAAGTTACTCCGCAGTTAATAAAATCTTTATGTGGCGTGTAGCCAATAGCCATCTCAGATTCCTCTCATGAAGCGACTGGTTTCGTTCCGTTTGAACTCATCAGGCTTTTAAGTGAGATTGTGTGGCTGTCCCCGACTCCCCTTCATATAGTCGTCGGGTCTCGGGGACCGAAGCACAAATTTCATAGTTAGTGTTGAAGGGATGTAAAACCCCATTTAAACTCTTATTGTCCCCCGCCTTTTGAAGAAAGCTGGGACTATTAAAATGGGTGTGTCCGACCATCTATCTGTCCTTCTGTCTATCCATCCGTCTGTCCGTCACACTTTTTGGGACACAGTAACTCTCCTTCTAATTGAGCTATAACATTCAAACTTGGTGTGGGTGTTTATTAGGTCAATGCCTTGATGGAGTTCGAAGATGAGCATTTTCTGCTTAGGGTAAGCAGAGATAAGCAATTTGATTGGTTGATGCTTTGGGACACAATAACTTTAGTTCTAATTAAGTCAGAGTGATGAAACTTGGTGTATAGTTTCATTATATCAATACCTTGACTAAGTTCGATAATGAGCATTTTCTGCTCAGGGTAACAGAGCGATAAGCAATTTGATTGACTGAGACTTTAGAACACAATAACTCTCCTTCTAATTGAGCTGTAAAGTTTAAACTTAAAGTAGGTGTTTATTAAGTCAATGCCTTGATAGAGTTCGAAGATGAGCATTTTCTGCTTAGGGTAAGCAGTGATAATAATTTGATTGGTTGAGGCTTTGGGACATGATAACTTTAGTTCTAATTAAGTGATAGTGATGAAATTTGGTGTATAGACTATGTTCGATAATGACATTTTCTGCTCAGGGTAAGCAGAGCGATAAGCAATTTGATTGGTCGAGACTTTGGAACACAATAACTCTGGCTTTAATTAAGGTAGAATGTTTAAACTTGATGTAGATGTTCATAGGTGAATGTCTTGACTGAGCTCAATGATTAAAATTTCGAGTTAAAGCTAAGCAGAGCTAAGAAATTTCATTGGTCGATGCTTTGGGACAAGATAACTTTGAATCTATCTGATAGAGAGTGATGAAACTTAGTGTATAGTTGATAATCAGTTTGATTGCTTGATACTTTTGAAAAAAATAAATGTGCTATTAAAGATACATTATGGGAGATTCGATAACAAGTTGGCAGTTCTCACAATAATACAATAATAGTTAAAAACTAGTTAATGTAATGGCAATTTGCTGAAAATTTCATTCAAATTTATCCGCTATGAACCGAGAACTAAGTGGTTGAAATTTATGGCTAGCCTTGATCATCATTACTAAAGTCAGTACGATAAACCGCATAGTCTCGATTATCCATTTAATCGTTAAATCGTGAAGGAATGTTATGCAGTAAATCGGCTCATAATCCACTACAGATCGCAGGCTAGCGATGCCATCTAGTGTTGATTATGGTCTGGATAGATTAATTAATGTCTAATTAATAATTTAGATAACATTTCAGGCCTAAAGAAAGACCTGCAATAGACAGATTTAGCTCTTGCATAATATATGTTTAATTAATATGTGTCATCTATTTATTTTGGGATTTTGGCGGGGGACATCAGCCTCACTGTTGGCTTGTTTCTTAATATGTTCTGTTTACATTATATTTTTTCAGAAAGAAGAAACTGATGTACGAACCACTTATATACAAAATCCCCAATCTATGATACGTTATGAGTATGATAGTGTGTTTTTTGTTGTACACAAGCCTTCATTACCTTGACACTTTATGGTATTCTCATATAGTAAATGGAGTTAAAAACTTAGAATTTGGGCTTAATGAACCTTACTATCCCGTTAACTAAAGTTCTATATTTACGCAAGGACAGGGTAATTTGACCCCAAAGGGACAAAGATTACAGAAATATATTGCTAATTTAAAGGTAGTTTTATGTTTTTAGAAATCAGTATGTGGGCCAGAGAGCCAGTTGTTCATAGATGGTGATATGGTTAAACTAAACGATAAATGAAATGAAGTAAAGAATACCATAATATTTCAAGTTCTTACTAGTTATTGATCAATGGTATATTTAGGTGGTGGGGGCACTGGGCCATGCCCTTAACCCAACTTATAGCAATCCAAAAATCTAGCCTAATACCCTGTTGAATATGATATTAATTTAAGTAAAATTGTGGGTTTCTCTGGGCATCCACCAACCTCTCACGCTACTACATAATACAGCCACTTTCCTTTTCTTTTCCAATCTGTAACTCATGTGGATGTTCATGATTCTCTCTATAACCTTTGAACACTTGAACTGTCCAAAACTGCCAGTAACCAGGGTTACTTAGACCTTTATACTCATGCGGCTAGCTGGAGCATCGAAGAGCCATCATGTGGTCCTCGGAGAAAGGTCTAAGAAATTGTAGTTTTCGGGATATATTATATGACTTTGCAGTAGCAGATCTATCAGCTGTTAATGAGGGTGGGGGAGAAACAAATCTAGGGCGCCATTCACAATCCCGCTTCACAATAAATGTCAACAAAATACTGGCTGTAACACTGTCTGAGTGCCCAGGTAGAACATAGATCGGATTGTCTATATCGTTGTTCGTTGAACGTTATCTCGCCAAAAACCAGTTTTTTTCAAGTTGACATAAAGTTCATGTCATATGAATTGTTATTGATTTTTTACGCCCACATGGAAATGTGGTCGTATATTGTCGTCACCCCTGTTCGTCCGTCTGTTCGTCCGTCATCCACAATTTCTTGTGACTACAAGACTACATTTATCATCTGATTATTTTAAAATTGATATGTTGTTTACTTTACTGAGATGGAGAAGCCTATTTGATTTCAATAATTGCTGTTAATTTCATCTGTAGTTATGGCCCTTGTTTCACTTTTTATCCGACCTGTATGAAATTTATATACATCATTTAAAAAAGTGAAACAAAGAAGCCTATTGAATTTCATCAATTTCTGTAAATTACTTTTAGAGTTATGGCCATTGTTTCACTTTGTTCAACCCTGTGAACCCTCTAATGCCAACAGTTATCATCTGATCTGTATGAAATTTATATACATCACGTAGATTAGTGAAACAAAGAAGCCTATTGAATTTCAGCAATTTCCATTAAATACATCTGGAGTTATGGCCCTTGTTTCACTTTGTTATTTGCATCATTTAAATTAGTGAAATGAAGACTCCTATTGAATTTCAGCAATTTCCGGTTATAACTGTTAGAGTTATGGCCTTTGTTTCACTTTACTGAACCTTGTGAATGCTCTAAAGATATAAATTATCATCCTATATGTATGAAATTTATATGCATCATTTTAGTGAAACAAAGAAACCTATTGAATTTCAGCAATTTTCATTAATTACTTCTAGAATTAAGGCCGTTGTTTCAGTTTGTAGACCCTTGTGAACCCTCAAATAACGGAAATTATAATCTGATCTGTAGTGTATGAAATTGTCCTGTATATGCACCCCATTTAGCTGCTGTGGGCATATGTTTCGTTGCCTGGCAACCTATCTTTGTCAACTTTAGAGAAGTGACTATGACACTGTGCAACCTGAAGTGTGTGTGTGTGTGGGAGGGGGGGGGGGCATGGAGAGGGTTCTCCCTCTTAGAAAAATTTGAGTCAATATCCTGGCTTTTGAGGTCATTGCTGGGAGCAAATTCTTGTGAACCAGGGCCCTGTTTCACAAAAACTTAAACTAAAATCACTAAAATAGATTTTAACTAAATCAAAATGAAATTTTAAATTTTATGCGTTTCACGAAGATCGATTGTAACTTAAAATCGATTTTAATAGATTTTAGTTAAAATTGCTTGCGCTCGCTCAGTGCACAATTCCGGCGAGTGGACACAATAGCCGAATCAATCGGCGCAGAATTTTATTCGGCCGGATGGGTGGACACACTAGCCGAATCACAGAGTAAAAATACACAGAGTGGCGACTGCTTCATTTGCATAAAAAGTAGGTCGCGCACTGCATCTTGGGGGTTTGTCTGTAATGTCACTAAACATGGCGGCTAAAGAAGACGTTTCGCAGTTGGAACAGGAGAAAATGTAAAGATCCGAGTGGTGGATATGGTACCTATGCCAGGTTTTTTAATTTTAGGGACTATTGAGGGATTAAAAAAATTCAGCATTTCTGAAGAAAAAGAGCTCAGTCTATGTCGCGTCGTCTGCTACAAGTATGATACGAGTGCTAGGCCTAGTGCTATAAATATATAATAAATACTGAGCCATAATAATATAGATCTAATAGATTATACAAACAGCAATATATATCATCAAAAATTTTATTTTGTAAGAGTACATATTTGGTGAAAGATGTTTTCATATTTGATTGGTTAGGCTTAATTGGCATTATATTGCATATTAATTATTATATTCCAATGTAGAGTACTGAGTACCGTAGGCCTAGAAGTAGATCTATATAAGTTATCTTATGATGATATTTAATATGACCTCAATCAATGTGCTATTAATGTAATGTAGGGAGAGACTTCAGAGAAATTTGGTTTAACGTCCACTCGAAACAAACTAGGTAATTTCGGGACTAACATTGTTCAGTTTTATTTCTATAATTCACTTGATGGGTCTTTTTTAGCAGGGGGACCCGGAGAAAACCCATGAGGTTGGACAGGCGACCCTACTCTTTGTTTCGTACAAGTGGGGAATCGAAACCACGCCACTTGACTCCATGACATGTCATAGGTCTAATAAACGTATTAATACCCGGTAATTTAAATTGTAGGCCCTTTTTTTTTAGTAGTTTTGCGTACGCGAGGCAAGAAGTAGTTGCGCTTCGATGTAAACCAAATCATTCCTTGCATTCTTTATCGCATGCTATCTAGTATTTTCGTAATTTTAGAATTACATGTAGTTGTGATTTTAAAGGATCAAATTTTAAATAGTAAGCTTTACTGTCTGTAGTTGCACATGTTCTTTTTACTTTCTATATTTTTTGTAAAAACAAATAAAATCTACAAACACAATAATAGGCCTACAGTCTACCGAATAAAATAAATTTAGATTCATATGTTGTCATTAAAAGCAATTGAAAAAGAATCATGTGCGAGGGAACAAACTATATTTTCTGAAGAATTCGTTGTATTCTGGCAAAAGGATAATGAACAAGCTTAATTTTTTTTCTAAGATTGTGTATCGAAAAATGTGATTCTATATAGGTCTACAATTACTTGTGGTAAACAATTTAAGTATATGCATAGGCGTAGGAGCTCAAAGTAATTCAGGGGGGCATAAGAGAAAATTGCCCGAAATCAATACCGTTTTTTCGGGCATACATATCATAAGAGAGCTTCGGGCATATTTTCGGGCATGCAGTGGACAAGAAAAAGACGAGAAAATACTTTTCGGGCAGTGTGGATCTCATAGAAATAAGTTAGTTATATTTTTTCTCTAAACGTTAATAGAAAAAAAAGGTCGTCGAATTTTTCATTGCCCGAAAATAAATTTTGGGGGGGGCAGTGTGGATCTCATAGAAATAAGTTAGTTATATTTTTTCTCTAAATGTTAATAGAAAAAAAAGGTCGTCGAATTTTTCATTGCCCGAAAATACATTTTTTGGGGGGCAAATGCCCCCCCTGCCCCCCGGCTCCTACGCCAATGAGTAATTGACCAAGACCTTAATTGGGAAGCACAAATAGCAGATATGTCTAAAAAACTTGCATCAAAAATATTTCTCCTAAATAAGATAAAAGATCATTTACCTTACGAGACAAGAATTTTGTTTTATAACAGTTACATACTACCAATATTTGATTATTGCTCTATTATTTGGGGAAATGCTACCAAAAGTAGATTAGACATTCTTTTAAAATTACAAAAGAGGGCAGCAAGAGCTATTCTTGATGCACCGATTGAAACTCCGTCCACCTCTTTATTTACTAAACTCGGTTGGCTTACCCTTACACAGAGGATTCTTTACAATAAAATTGTCTTATCATTCAAAATTATTACATTTAATACTCCACTTTATCTAAATTTCCATTTTATTGAAAAATCTCTTGTTTCTAAAACGGATATCTTGCTCCGTTCACAGACCAGTAAATCTCTTTTTCTTCAAAAATGCAAAACGGAATCCATGAAACGTACTTTTCATTATTCTGCATGTCTTTTATGGAACAATCTGCCTTTTGATATAAAGATGTGTAAAAATGTTGAAAATTTTAAGATTAAACTGAAAACTCATTTATTTTGCACACTGAAGGAACCATAATATTCAACTGATGACATACTTATTATTTTTAACTTGCAACTGCATTCTATTTTATTTTGTGTGTAATTATAGTGTTCTTCCTATATTCTACTTGTATAATGTATATGTTTTGTAGTTTGGGAGTGACTTATCAAACTTCCCACTTTAAAATGCTATTGCATTTCTAATGATTTTAAATTTATCCTGATATTACATGTATATATGTCTTTGTAGTTTAGGAGGGACCTATGGAAGATTAGTTGTTTTTTTTGCAAACTAAATACGTTGCCTCATTAAATAAAGTTTTTATTATTATTATGGTATGTTATATACCTTTCCAAATTTGATAACAAAAATATTATTTTGCTCAATTTTCAGTTGCAATAAGCTTTTAATAAAACAGTAAGCTTAATACTGTTATGCTATTCAAAATCACATTTCCCTGTTTACTGGTAGGCCTTATTCCGACCAATAAAATATTTACTGAAGCACTGCCAATAATTTTAAACCATTCAGTAATTCAAAATAATTTTAATTTACTCTGTCATTATCTAGTAATAGTATGCTGTATGGTTAACTTCAGTTTGTATGGCAGATAATTCCATATAGTACACAGTATAATCAGTTGACAAAAAAAAATCACAAAAATAAAAGTAACTCTGAACACAGATCAGACCTAATGACATTGATATCTAGAGCAAACTTCAGATTTATAATAATTTAATATACATGTATATTCTTGTGCAGTACTGTAAAATGGACAATTTCATAGTATTAGGGGGCCTATAAAGGCTGTCAAAACATTACATGACACCCGGAGCAATATGCAAAATATTCATTCTGAAGTTGTTTTTGGTTTATACTTGTTTGTAAAAAGAGAAACCATTCAACTCATAAAATGTTTATTGAAAAATGTTATAAAACTGAAAGTCTACATTAATTAATAGAACAAAAATCATAAAAGTACACGGTGAGTCAACCTTGAACCCAAAAAGGTATTTTATCTTGGAAAACAGCCAACGGCTTAAATCTGTTTATTGGAAAACGTTATATGCCTATTTGAACTTCAATTTTAATATTCTTAAATTATTATTTTATATTTTAATGAAAGCTTACTTTATTAACATAACATAAATAAGAGACGCACACAGTAATAAGCTGTAGAAGACAACAGAATTTTTCTTTGGGAGAAAAAATAAATCATGTTGATGTTGAGTAAAATAGGTCTTATCCAAAAAAGGGCGTGGCACTTTGACATTTTCAAATGGCCCATTTTAAGGTGTATGGAAATTACATTTTAAATCTAGGAGTGGAAACAACAAGTATTTAGTGGAATAGTTTCAAAGTTAACAAAACCTCTTAAAAAACGAAAATATTTTACAGCCTTAAATTAAATAGACCAATTCGTAAACCGTCAGTCTCACTTCATTCCGGGCCGTACCACGCTTTATCATGTTTTAAAAATATGAATCATGTTTTATAAATTCCCGAAACTGACAACTAATTATGATTGTATGTGATAATTCTCAGTAGTTTTGTTACCGAAAATACTATAAAACTACGAAATTAAAGAGATTTAGTTCATCGATATAGATTAAGATATCGTAACGTCGTTATGCGAACTGTCGGGTGTTTATTCCAGACAATTCCCAAGATGCATTGCGCGTCGCTTTGTTTCTATGGGCCGTAATACGATTCGCCACTCTGTGTATTTTTACTTTGTGAGCCGAATGCTTCGCCCGATTCAACCTGTCGATTGCCATTCGGCAAACCTCGACAGATTCTACGCATCTAATCTCGGCTGTATAACCATTTCCGCCATATTTGAACTATTTTAAAGGTTCCGAATGAAAAATGGCTGCCCCCATGGAGATTTCTGTGGAGAGTGTATTATATCAACAAACGTCACGTTTGGCATTGGGTTTGGGGAATTACCAGGGAATTTTATCAAACCAGCAGCCTTGAGACAATATCTCTGCTCATTTAGGTATATACACTCTACAAAAGACGCAATTTGGGACTTTTTTGTAAAAGCGACACGTTTTCCTGTTTAAAGTAAACCGGTAGCGGCATCGCAAATGTATGGGCGTAGGCACATATCACTTACTGTCATACAGCTGAGATTAGATGTAGGGTACCGGAATCTGTCAAGATTTGCCGAGTGGTCGATTGCATCACCTTTCGCGTCACATGATTATGTCTTCAATCTATCACGTGACTTCTCGATGTGAGTGGTGATTGGCTAATGAATTCTATATTCGGCCGAATGCTTAGTCGAAGCGAACACACCAGGCGAATATAATTTGGTCGAATATATCAAACCTGTTTGATTCGGCCGAATGACAGTGGACACACTAGGGTAAGGTTTTCGTTGTTCACTCGAGTCGACACCAGACCGTTCGCGTTTTGAATCGAGTTGGTCACATGACTGACTCGAGTCGCATCACGTGACTAACCCGTTTACTCTCCGTTGAGCGGAGAGTAAAAGGGTTTGTCACGTGACAAAATGGCGTCCTAAAAGCCTGACTCTCGATCATATGATATACTGGCGTCGTAACTCTGTGATCCGTGGTAGTTTGTGATCCGCTGCAATCTCAAAATGAATCTACAAAAACCGACAATGAGAACTATAGAATACACATCTAAAGATGGTAATGTACTCAACTTATCGATTGACGATGCAACTTACCAGAAGATAATAACAAACACGGGCTTTGCTACTGTCGGCCTGGTTTAATACTATTGAAGGCTACATTGCGGCTGACAAAGCTAAGGAAGCGCAGACAGGAACACCATTGCCGTCCACTAGTTCTAGTAATGATGCGAATGTGGAGTTGCCGGGAGCTTCATCCACGGAGTTGGCAGGAACTTCAACTTCATCCAGTATCATGGATATTAATGATAATATAGGCCTAATAAAGAAGGATGAAAATGTTGAGCAAGTAAACGAAAAACGATGGGTAGAAAAAGAAATCAAAATTTTGCTTCATGTGCGTTTTGAGATGGAGAAAGAATTTTTGAAGGCTAAAAATCACCAAACATTGTGGCAAACTGTTTGTGAAAAGTTGGCGGAGCAGAAGGTTGTGGCCACGGTGGATCAAATTCGTAACAAATTCAAAGCCTTAAAACGAGAGTACTACAAAGTGAAAGACCATAACAATCAAACAGGAAATAACCCAAAGGATTGGAAGTGGCTCTCTGAATTTTTTATCATTTCAATTCTTATATTTGCTTCTAACTAAAGTTTGTTTGTAATAAACAAGTTCATTTTATCATTTCAATTCTAATATTTGTTTCTTTTGTTTGTTTAAACAATAAACAAGTTCATTTTAATTCTAATTTGCTTGTCCAATCTCTTCTTGGGGGATCACCTGGCTAAGTGGGCAAGGCGCTGGCTCGCTAGCCTGGAGGTCGAGTGTTCGATCCCTGCATTCATCTCGATTTTCCGGCGTGGTTTCCCCTTGTCAGTGATGCAGAACGGCGGGCCTGACAAGGACAGCTGCCTAGTCGTTCGGATGGGACGAAAAACCGAGGTCCCGTTTGGCGTGCACGTAAAAGATCCCTTGGCAGTTGGAATTCGATATAAGAGTAGGCCGTAGCGCCGCTGCCCGGGCAAAATTTCCCTCATTGCACACTGAATGGCGTATGCCCGTCTTCCATTAGCCCAGGTTAGGTGCATAACAGTAGGATGTTAAACCCCATTTCATTTCATTTCCAATCTCTTTTTAATTATTCATTAGAAATTTGTAGTTAGTGATTAGCAATCACTTCATTGATTGAGGTTGAGGGGGTGGACAGGTTCTATTTCCCCCGCCTTCCGCCCTCTCCCACCGCCTTCCGCCCTACATCCCCCGCCTTCTTCCCCCAACCAAATCCGCCTTCCGCCCATCTTTCTTCACCCGCCTTCCGTCCTTCTCCCATCAAATCTCCCCGCCTATCTCCGTACATCCGCCCTTCTTCCCCCATCACATCCCCCTTCCCCCAGCCTTCCGTCAAATATAGATTAGAAGAAATTGCAATGTTTTTTTATCATATTTTTTTCATTTAAAGTTGCAATTTCATATTTTTACGTTATATTTTTAAAATTGATTAAAATAAAGCCTTAAAATAGATGGTATCTATAAACAGTCCTACCTTGTTAAAGATTAATCCTGTAATTCACTATTGCCAGTTGAGAAATTGGCAAAAATATCATTTTCCTCTTCAAATTCAAACGCTTGAGGATAGCTACTCCATGGCGGAGAATAGAAAACAAGGGAGGTAATTGTGTTATTATTTCCGGTGTAAATGAGTTTTAAGTGTGAGAATGACACCTATGATCGTATAATAGTGAGTTGGCAACCTATTGAGCAAAAGACATAGAAATAATTATGTTTTGACTTTCTTAGAAAATATGAAATTATAACTTTAAAGTATACAGAAATGGTTTCTTTTAAAAACAACAAAAATATTACCATTTATTCTAAACATGTGGAAATATAAACAGAACAAAAACATACAAAATAGCTTTTTTTTTTTTTTTAGAAAAAACAGTTATCAATTTGAGATTTCAGTGAAGTTAAACTTGAACATAGTTGAACTGTTTGTAAGCTGGCTTGAAGTTAGTATACCAACTTTTTTAAATAGATCTATAATATCTGTCTTTGAAAGGCATTTAGTGAAAGTGATATATAATAACAGACAGCTTTATGGATGACATTCACTAGGTTTATTAACTGCAACGTTTCAATGAGGTTACTCTCACCGTTATCAAGCAATTATACAACCAAACATGTTACAGAGGGTTATATATAAACAGTTAACAAAAAACTAATTAACAAAATAAGGCCGAAGCCATTCAAAGTCATACCTAAGAAAACTATTTAATAATCAATGAGAAACCCTTAAAGGGGGGGATGGAATGTACAAATCATGCTAAAACAACAACTGATCATAATTAAACCCTTAATTTCCATATTGCCAATAAAGATTACAAAATTTAAAAGTAAAGATTAAATTATTTAAAAAAACTATGAATGAGAAACCATGTTATTGTTGATACCATTAATGACCCTCTCCATTAGACAACAAGATGTAACCAATCACAAATATTATAACAAAATAGATCTAGTGGTCTAACTTATGCAGAGTTAAAAACCATAATAAAGGAAAATAAACATATATGACCCTGTTAAAAGGTTATAACAACTTTTGAGGAAAAGGGAATAAAACATTTTTTTAGGTCTATAATATGGGTTTGTGCTTGTTACGTGTTCACAAGGAATAGTGAACATAACAACTCTTGAGGAAAAGGGAATAAAACACTTTTTTTAAGTCAATAATATTGGTTTGTGCTTGTTACGTGTTCAAGTCCCAAACGCCACCCTTGAGCTGTCACTCATATGGAACAACCTTACCGGTACTGTTGCAGTTGTGTTTTATTTGTGTTTTAATGTTTTAACTTTTGGATAACCTTTTAACAGAGTCATATATGTTTATTTCCCTTTATTATGGTTTTTAACTCTGCATAAGTTAGACCACTAGATATATTTTGTTATAATATTTGTGATTGGTTACATCTTGTTGTCTAATGGAGAGGGTCATTAATGGTATCAACAATAACATGGTTTCTCATTCATAGTTTTTTTAAATAATTTAATCTTTACTTTTAAATTTTGTAATCTTTATTGGCAATATGGAAATTAAGGGTTTAATTATGATCAGTTGTTGTTTTAGCATGATTTGTACATTCCATCCCCCCCTTTAAGGGTTTCTCATTGATTATTAAATAGTTTACTTAGGTATGACTTTGAATGGCTTCGGCCTTATTTTGTTAATTAGTTTTTTGTTAACTGTTTATATATAACCCTCTGTAACATGTTTGGTTGTATAATTGCTTGATAACGGTGAGAGTAACCTCATTGAAACGTTGCAGTTAGTAAACCTAGTGAATGTCATCCATAAAGCTGTCTGTTATTACAGATCTATAATACACAAGAAAGCAAAGTTTCTGGCTACGTAGTACAATAAAAAGTTCAGCGATTTAGTAGTCTCACTATGTTCGCTCTCTTGGCAGTGCCCGCATCTACTTGTTGTCCTGCCTGCTGACCCAAGTTGTCCACACGAGGAGGCTCATCCTGCAGTACATCCATGTCAATGAAATCTTCTAAGTCCTCATGTGATAGCACACACATGTTGTGCAGAACGCAACCAGCAAGGATGAAGTTGCAAATTCGTGTCATGACTAATACACGGTCACGTACAGCAGACTGATCGGTAAATGGCAAGTCCCTTAATTTTCGGAAGCGACCTTTCAAGTGACCTATAGCACGCTCCACTGTCTGGCGAACTGATAATAGGATATAGTTAAAATAACGCTGCTGGGCTGTGAGATTACCATTATTTTTAAATGGGGGCAGTAAATAAGTTTTTACTGGGTAAGCGCTATCACCAAGCAGATGCTCATCTTGCCCAAAACCAACACCCTGCTCTGCCTTTTCGAAAATAGGGCTATTTCTGAATACCCGAGCATCATGACTGGACCCAGGAAAGCCAACGAATGCATCATTTATTAGTAAAGTGTCATCAACAACAACTTGAAGTTGCACAGAGCAGTATCCTTTTCTATTTACATATGAGCGGTCTTCTGTGGGGTTTTGGATATTAATATGAGTACCGTCTATAATGCCGACTACACCAGATATCCGATTATTTTGTGCCAAGCTCCTCGAAATTTCCTCCAGTCTCTGAGCATTCGGCCACTGTATAAATTTATGAGAGATCTTCACAAGTTCTGATGCCACAGCATGCACAATTTCATGTACTGTGGACTTTGCTAAACCAAAGTCCCATGCTGTATGTCTCATGCTTGTTTGGTTTGAAATATACCACAGGAAAACCATTGCTTGCATGTCAATCGGAATGTCTGTAAAACCTCCATGGCCGTAATTCTGTGACAAACCTGGTGAAAGTTCATTCACGAGTAACTGAAAAGTATCTTTGCTGAGCCTGCAATGGTATCGAAATAAATTTGGGGGCAAATTCAGCACGTTTTCAAAAAAGTCCGTCTCATTTTTCACATCCCCGGCCCTTGTCATTGTCACCAGGCTCGCTAGAAGAGGTAGAGGTAAGTCGGTTGTTTCGGAATCTTCTTCTTCTTCGTCCTCTAATAGTTCTTGAATTAAAATAAGATTCGGAGTGGAGGCAGCCATTGCGAAAAAAATAAAACAAAATAAAATAAGGTGTCTCGTCATTTTGTTTTGATGTCATGTGACTACTCGGACCGTTCGGGATGTTTCACCCGGGTAAACTCGGCAATGGAGTCGACTCGAGTGACGCGAGTAAACGACGAAAACCTTACCTAGGCGAATTTCGATGCCGATTGATTCGGCCAGTGTGTCCACCGCTTTAGGGTGTAAGCATACAAGCATACTGAATACTGTTGCCAGGTTGAACTAACCGTTGAAATACCAATGAGGAGCGTTTCATACGTTGTAACAATGTCTGCACATGGCCAGACACTCGTAGAGAGATGAAATAAATAACTTTATTGCGTGTTATTCGTTTTGAAATGTATCAGTTGGTTGGCGTTGAACTTGCATGTCGCTTTCGTGACCTTGGCATTTGATTTACTCGCAGACTTCAATGGAAATAATGCGTATCGATAAACTAAATCGCTTGAAATTCGTAGTTTTATGGTATTTTGGATAACAGAAACTATTGAGAAATTGTCAAAAACGTGATATTTCTGACTGAAACGGTTAATCTAGTATTGTCGAATTTTAAAAGTATTTCATAACTTTTAAACCGGGTAGATTAATCACTAGAATTCATTTACAATCATCGGATAAAGGCGCTGTAAGTGAATTTATTTGAAAGACTACCGGAATTCATTTCAAATATATGCATCATGATTATGATAACGTAGGGCGCGTCGTATTACACAATAGGCCGAACTCCAAAATAACACATAATAACAACTTGCGTCGAATTACCCAATAACTCCAAAATAACAGCCAATAACCCCAAAAATGTTGACTGGAAACACAATATAAAAATTTATTTTATGATCAGTAGTGGAATACCGCGTTTTATCAGTGAAATAAAAGTGTTATTCCACTGGCTAAAGTGGTCCATGTTGTTTTTACCTAAAATGATTGTAAAACCCTAAAATAAATAGAACATTTGTCGTTTTGTCGTGAATAACATATTTTATTTCATCTCTAAGCAAGAAAACGTTTATATTTTCACTCATGCTTAGAGAGGAAATAAAATATGTTATTCACTCTAAAACGACAAATATCCTCTATTTAGTTGAATTTAAGAAGCCTCGCGGATTTGTGCTCAAATCGGAGGTTCACGGGAGATCACTCGTGTATGTGATTTTTGTTGACAAGAAACTAATGTAAATGAAATGAAATGAAATGGAGTTTAACGTCCTACTGTTCTATTTTGCCAGGGCAGCGGCACTATCGCCTACTCTTATATCGAATTCCAACTGCCAAGGGATCTTTTACGTGCACGCCAATGTGTACACGGGACCTCGGTTTTTCGTCCCATCCGAACGACTTGTCAGCCCCTCCGTCCTGCATCACTGACAAGGGAGAACCACGCCGGAAAATCTGGATGAACTTTCTCGGCCAATGCAGGGATCGAACACCCGACCTCCAGGCTAGCGAGCTAGCGTCTTACCCACTTAGCCACGTGATCCCCGACAAGAAACTAATGTATACCTACTTTTGTTGTAATGTACTGTAATAAAAGATTGATTAATAGTTTATTAAAATAAACAATTTGATATTATAGCTATATTTATTTATTTATAATTGCAAATTGCGCCGATTGTCACTTTCGGTCATCGACATCGTAACTTGTTTAGAAATAAATAAATTCTCATTCTCATGTTATCATAGTTTATGTTTTTTGGAGGTGTGATTGTATGTGATTTGTCACCTTTTACAATGACAATTAACTGGTGAACATTCTATATGCCTACTATTGGCATATTATTAAAATTACACTTCATTTAATCTGAACTGCTTCGTGCTACAACGGATTACCTATGAAAACATCCAAACCATTATTGATGAGACTTTATAATTATTTGATTGGCTTATTATTACTAAGTTAATTTTCGAATAAACTTAGCTCATCTACATTCAAGAAATGTTCGGTTTGACATTTTACATGGATTACTGCTGTGTTTTTATTATGTTTCCCCGAGTTGACGATCTGGAAATATCGTTTTACAGCAGATACATTCTAGTATTAATATTAATGCAAAATATAAGTAAATACAATTGTCGTGGGGCAAATTCCGATTTTCTCAAAGTGAATTCCGGTGTTTTAAAGTAATTTTTTATAAATGTAAAATATTAGTAAATACGAAGGTCTAAAGTGCGAATTCAGATATTTTGTAAGTGAATTCCGGTGTTTTAAAGTAATTTATTATTATTGTAAAATATTTGTGATCGAGTACGAAGGTCTGAAGTGCGAATTCAGATTTGAAAGTGAATTCCGGTGTTCATATGTTTTCAATGTGATTTCCGGTGATTTTCGGTGTTTAAAAGTAATTTATTATTAATGTAAAATATTAGTAAATACGAAGGTTTTAAGTGCGAT